CAAACAAATAGCCAGCACGTGTAGACACAAAGTCAGAAAAGCTAAAGCACAGAATGAACTCAGGCTTGCTAGAGAGGTTAAAAGCAACAAAAAGGCTTTTATGGGTATGTTCGTAGCAAAAGGAAGAACAAAGAAACAGTGGGGTCACTCAGAGGAGAAGATGGTGAAATGCAAACAGGGGACACAGAAAGGGCTGAACTCCTCAATGCCTTCTTTGCCTCAGTCTTCTCCGATAAATAAAACAATGCCCGACCTGAAGACCTGGAGCAAATGATTCAGCAAAGGAAGCACAGCCCAGAATAACTAAGGAGATAGTACAAGAATACTTGGCTAGTTTAGATGTATTCAAGTCTCCAGGGCCAGATGAACTGGATCCAAGAGTATTAAAAGAACTGGCAGATGTGATCTCAGAACCACTGGCAGTCATCTTTGAGAATTCCTGGAGAACAGGCGAAGTCCCGGCAGACTGGAGGAGGGCAAATGTTGTCCCTATTTTCAAAAAGGGGAAAAGAGAGGACCCAAATAATTACCGCCCAGTCAGTTTGACATCAATACCAGGGAAGATTCTGGAGCAGATCATTAAGCAAACAGTCTGTGAGCACCTAGAAAGGAATGCTGTGATCACCAATAGTCAGCATGGATTTCTGAAAAATAAGTCATGTCAGACTAACCTGGTCTCGTTTTTTGACAGAATTACAAGCCTGGTAGATGAAGGGAACACAGTGGATGTAGCCTACTTTGATTTCAGCAAGGCATTTGACAAGGTGCCCCATGATATTCTTGTAAAGAAGCTGGTAAAATGCGGTCTTGACTATGCTACCACTCAGTGGATTTGTAACTGGCTGACTGACCGAACCCAAAGGGTGCTCATCAATGGTTCCTCTTCATCCTGGAGAAGAGTGACTAGTGGAGTGCCACAGGGTTCTGTCTTGGGCCCGGTCTTATTCAACATCTTTATCAACGACTTGGATGATGGACTCAAGGGCATCCTGATCAAATTTGCAGATGACACCAAACTGGGAGGGGTGGCTAACACCCCAGAGGACAGGATCACACTTCAAAACGACCTTGACAGATTAGAGAACTGGGCCAAAACAAACAAGATGAATTTGAACAGGGAGAAATGTAAAGTATTGCACTTGGGCAAAAAAATGAGAGGCACAAATACAAGATGGGGGACACCTGGCTTGAGAGCAGTACATGGGGAAAGGATCTAGGAGTCTTGGTTGACCACAAACTTGACATGAGCCAACAGTGTGACGCGGCAGCTAAAAAAGCCAATGCAATTCTGGGCCTCATCAATAGGAGTATAGCATCTAGATCAAGGGAAGTAATAGTGCCACTGTATTCTGCTCTGGTCAGACCTCACCTGGAGTACTGTGTCCAGTTTTGGGCACCACAGTTCAAGAAGGACACTGACAAACTGGAACGTGTCCAGAGGAGGGCAACCAAAATGGTCAAAGGCCTGGAAACAATGCCTTATGAGGAACGGCTAAGGGAGCTGGGCATGTTTAGCCTGGAGAAGAGGAGGTTAAGGGGTGATATGATAGCCATGTTCAAATATATAAAAGGATGTCACATAGAGGAGGGAGAAAGGTTGTTTTCTGCTGCTCCAGAGAAGCGGACACGGAGCAATGGATCCAAACTACAAGAAAGAAGATTCCACCTAAACATTAGGAAGAACTTCCTGACAGTAAGAGCTGTTCGACAGTGGAATTTGCTGCCAAGGAGTGTGGTGGAGTCTCCTTCTTTGGAGGTCTTTAAAGCAGAGGCTTGACAACCATATGTCAGGAGTGCTCTGATGGTGTTTCCTGCTTGGCAGGGGGTTGGACTCGATGGCCCTTGTGGTCTCTTCCAACTCTATGATTCTATGATTCTATGATTCTATGTTCTCTGTGTGTGCTGAGCATATAGGGATGTTCTCCCCGTATCGGAGGTCCTTGCAATAGTCACACGCAACACCTTGTCCTTCATAGTGCTGGGCATCTTGCTAATACCACCAAACAAGGTGCTCAAACAGAGACAACTTCATAGGAGTGCAATTCCAATTCAGCATTTTCCCCTTCTCCACCTTCCCTCTCAATTATCACTTCTCTACGCATCCAACCTCCTCTCAATTATCACTTGCCTTTGCCTTCAGCCTCTCTCTTTACCTAGCAGAAGATAGCCCTGAATCACTGAGTAGCCAGTCACTATTACGATATAGAAGCAATGCAGCTGCGAGCTGCTAGCTTGAAAATATCACATGATGGAATGTTGGGACTGTTCTGTGGGAAACAGAGGGACAGCCAATTCACAGTGCGAAGCACCGGAATTAGCTCAGAGTGTGATATGAGCTCTTCCTTTTGTTTCTGTACAGGAAGTACAGGAAGTGTTTGTCTCTTGACTGCTGGAGCTTGAAGAGAGCAGTCATGTTTTTTGTAACGCTGCAAAGACATAAATAAAGGCATGTAAATACGTTTCTGTCTATCTCTTTCCCCTGCCGGGGGGGCAGGAAACGGGGGGGTGTTCTTCTCACGCTGAGAAGGATCGCCTATCGCAACCTAGCCTGGATCTTGCTGGGGAATGCAGCCAGGGAGGTCAACAAGGAGATCAAGCCGGGTGCCTGGAGAGTTGCCAGTTACTACTGATATAGGCTTGAATTCCGACAGTCACAAGACACAAAGGCACTGGATTGATATTATCTTTGATAACTGCAGAGAGGTGAGTAGTAGTTATCTACTAGGGCAATAACACTGGCTCTAACCTTGCTGTCAGCAGCTACTGTAAATTACTATTTTTGCACTCCCCTGATGAAACTCCTCAGCAGCTCACCTTAAAACTCTAAGGCTTAAGGCCCCGTAAGCTGGTGTTACAAGGTGACACTCAATTAAAAATGCTGTAAATCAATTGGCTTGCTCCAAAAAAAGGCAATCAGCAAAGGCAACCTTTGAGGAGTTTCTGACAGAACAGCACTGCTGCCTCAGGGCACTTCCAGACAATCTGTTTATTTACCACTCCTCCTGATTTGTAATTTTTTACGATTATTATTTAATTACATTTCTATACTGATCTTCATCTGAGGACCACAGGGCAGCTTACAATATAAAAATGCAAAAATACAAAAATCTATAACACAATAATGAACAAACACAGTTCCCCCCCTCCCCATTTTAAAAGGCCATAGATTGTTTCATTAGCCAAAGACCTGAGAGAATAGGAATGTTTTTGCCTGGCACCTAAAGATATATAACGAAGGCACCTTACCTTTCGTCCTGCACTTTCCAGGGACAGGTCTGCACTTTAAAATTCAATGTCTGAGATCTTTTCTTTTTCTTTTCTCCCATCACGTTCCCCAAGGAAACACGCTCTTTAACACTGGATCAGAACAAACAGCAATTCGGGTTTGCTGACTGCAGTTTGCTGCTATTCAGCAGTAAAGAATGACTTTTTGTGGGGAAAGCACCAGGCAACAAAAAAAGCAATCAGAGGAAGCTTTAAAGCACAGACCTGTGCCTAGAAACGCAGCACAAAAGGAAGTCTGGATGAGCCCTACATCATAGTCAAGGACTAGTTATACCATATTTTCCAGTGCATTTCCCATCACCTTTCTTACTGATTACTTTTTTTTAATAAGCAGGTTTGTTGAACATTGGTGCACCTTGTAAAAATGTACCCTTATTAGGGGCATTGTATGTGAAATTGTAGGATTGTGCTCTGGTGCCACACCCTGAAATGTTCTGTGGCGCTGCAGTAGGATATACCTTGCCCATTTTGTTTCCAGAAACTGGTATGTATCTGTGCAGAACAGATCTTGGCTGCAAACAAATGGGTTAGGTAACAGGTAAAAATGGCCGGAGTGTTTCACTGCACCATAGCAAGACCACTGATCTCTTTGATTATATGGGATGAGAGCAAAATACAGGCAGCTCTGAAGTAGCCGTTGGACTACTGGTTGCTTCAAATACATTGGCAGTCAGTTGGCTGCTCATGTGCATAACCTGACTATGTTGGAGTGCTAGTAGAAAATGCAAGTAAAGCATATTGAATTTGAATGTGTGAATGCTATTTGAATCAGAAACTGTAATATTTCCATTTTATCAGCAGCTGCACAGCATCTTATGTGTGGGTGCTGTTCAATGTACAGTAACTATAGTTCCACAGCTGGTGACAGCTGTGGAGAAACTTTTCACTAATGATATTCACACAATAAATGTTGCACAGTACCTACAGGGAAATGGGACAAGAAGCCCTATCTTTGTTACTCCCCTCTAAAAAAGGGGGGCTGTAAGTGTAAAACTCTTGTGGGTGGCAAGAAATTGCAACATGGCAGGACTTCATACCTGACTGAAATCCTATCTGCCTCTTCTATCTAGGCATAGCAAAATATTATACAGTAGCTGTCTTTTTAAAAATCGAATGAAAAATATCCACTTCTCAGACGCTGCTCACCTTATAATAACAGGTGATTCCACAACATATGGGGAATCAAGGCTGGAAAAGGCCACTTTAATAGCTTTAGGGTTGGCATCAGGGGAGGAAAATCACCCTGCACAATATGTATGCAAGATGCATCTTCCCAGAAATTTGTGTAACCTACACACAAAGGGCTGTGTGTCAAGAATAACATAGAAAACCAGATGTATCAATCTGGTGGTGTCTATGATAACAGCACATTGACTGGGAAACAGAATTATCCTATTGTTTCTCAAAGCATTGTTTGGAAAATGTGTTTGTCTCTTCCCATCAGGGGATTAAATTTCTGAATTATTACAGTACAGTATCACAAAAACCTATACAACTCCAGATCCTACAAAATTGCTGTCACCTTGCTACCTCACAAGTCTATTCAAGCCAGACAAAGGAGAAAATAGCAATCACTCTTTGCAAACAGCTTATCAACACAAGGCATTATCCAGAACAGCAAAACCCTCAAGTAATTATAGAAAGCATGAATGGTGCAGAGCCAGGAGTAAAAGAGCAGCAGGAGAAACATTCTCTGATCTGCGCTTCCACTGCGCTTCCAGGGAACTTCCTTACTACCCAGCTGCTTGGTCGTCTTTTGTCTTCAATACAGCACCAAGCCAGCCTCTGCCCACTTGGGAAGGACAAATCACAGAGAAAGTACAAAATAACATGCTTTTCAGTCCCACAAGGCTTGTTAGGCTTAAAAATAGATATCTTCTGTAACAAGCTGCCAGTTACCAAGCAGAAAATTATTCTTAAGGAAAAAGTTTTCATCCAAGCTTGGTCAGGTAACCTTGTCTTGTTTCTTTCTAACAACCTCAAGGCAACAAGCAGCAAGCCTGTGGTTTTCAAACCGTGTTCCAGAGAACCCTTAATTACCTTACACTAGGAAAGAGAAATGTCGGGACTAGGGGCCAAATGCAGCCCATCATGCATCTCTATCTGGCCCTTGGGATTCTCCCCAGGCCACCCCCCCCCCCAGGCACGCTGGTCTCTAAGCCGCATCCTTCACCAGCCCTTCTTTGCATCCTCCTTGACTGTTTTTGACTGGCTATATACTGTATCCTTGAATTCAGGTAATACCTCTTGTTCACCTTAGGTGAAGGGTAGGGAGGGTTCTGTGAGCGCCTAAAGTGCCAAGTAGTCACATTCTTATTTCTTCTACACACACTTTTGCTTCTGGCATCACTGGCACGCCGCCCTCCGCCAAAAAAACCCTCCCAAAATAAATTAGAATTGCGAATATCGTGCATTTTCCTGCTCTAGATTTAGTTACATCTCCTTTCTTCCTCTGAACAATCCCTGCCTTCTCGCTCTATCGCAGGGCAGTAAAATAATAAATGGCAGAAATCCCGTCCGTGTGACTAAAGCGAGAAACTAAAGGCAATGTCTTCTCTGAAGGCTCCTGAGCATGCTCAAAAGAGAACGAAGGCGGGTTAAGCAACAGCAGTTTCCGTTGCCTTACTATGCGGAAAAGAATCAGCCGGGAGTCCTGCCCAATCTTTCCTAGGATCCCCTCCAACACCCCCGTCCCCAACACAAGCTCCAAACTGAACTATCATTTGGGGGGCGGAACCAATCTTCTTCAGCTGAGGGGGTACACCGGATCAGTCGGGGAGCTGGATTGGTGGTGCGCCATCTAACGGAGATCGCTTCCTTCCTTAGTTCTCCGTAGGTACTTTTCCCTGACCTGTCGGCCGCTCTGGCCCACCGGTCCGCCCCCACCTTGTTCCCTTCACAGCCATGCAGCCCTACATGGTCAACATCAAGCTGTCGGCCCGGACCCTCACCGGGGCGCTCAACCCGCAGAACCGAGGGGCGGCGGACTGGTGAGTGGGGGAAGCGGCGAGGGACCGGGGAGGAGGCGGGCCCAGGCCACGCAGGCCGGCGGGACACAGAGAGAGGGTCGTTATAGCTCCGCGCGAGCTACCAGAGAGAGAGAGAGAGAGAGAGGTGGCCGTCCCATCTCACATGCTGGAGTAGACTTCAGCGAGGCTTACTCGCGAGTAGGCGTGCACAGGGTCGCAGTGTATGGGCGTGAGAGGGGCGCCTAAGACCGACCAACCTTATGGCCCTAATGTGAGAGGGGATTTTAGGGGCAAAGGATCCATTGTTTCCCTGAGGCGTGTAAGCTGCTAATGGCAGTTGAGTGAAGTTCATAGAGTCTTCAAGAAGAGTTGTGTAATGCAAACTATTGGTAAAGCCTGTATGGGGTTATGGTGCAAGTGTATGTGTGTGTGTATGTATATACAGTGCTTTTTGGGGGGGGGGGTACGCAGGGGTAAGCATACCCATAAACATTTTGTGAATCTTTTGCTTTTGTCCATTTACTGTGCTGTATTTATTTTTCCCGATTTGAACTATAAAATGGTGATTTTCTTGAGTCAAAATGAGAGTACCCCTAAACATTTTTTTTTAAAGCACTGTGTGTGTGTGTGTGTGTTTTATGGATGGAACCAGTGTTTTTTTTCTTTAAAAATGTTTAGGAGTACTCTCATTTTCCTGCTCATATTGAAATACTGCTCCTCAATGAGGATAAACTTAGATTCACAAAATGTTTAGGGGTATGCGTCCCCCCAGAAAAAAAGCACTGTATGGAACATGTGTGGGCTGACATGTATGTAACTTTGACTTCTCTGCCGAAGGCACACTCTTTCCAAGGTCCCCCAAGATAGACGGGTGCCAGCCATGTGTGGGTTAAGAAAAGGATGTCAGGTGTAGTGCTTGATTATGGGAGCAGGCAGCATAATGGGCATGTGAGCTTTGGCAACTGGGTTGATTTCAATCAAGTATAGGATGAAGAAACTTGAACTGGTTTGGTTGTCATCTTTCTGTCTCGGGAGACTACAGAAGAGTGCACCTTCGGGGGTAAAGTCAAACCATTGGGAGAGTTACAGCGCTTGCTGTGGCTGTAGAGACCCATACAGGAGAGGCGTGTTTTGTTGCAGCCTGTCCTTATTAAGCAGAAGTGAAAGCTGTTTGTAAAACACTTAAGATGTCACGAGCGGAGGGATTTAGGGTAGGGTGGAAATAAAAGCACAAGACTTGCCTTCACTGGAAAACTGAAGGGAAAAGTCTCCTGTAGTTGGTAAATACAACAATTTGGGGGTTCTTTTTATGCGTAGGAGTGGTTGCCAAAAGATTCTTTCAGTTCTCTAGTGATTCAGCTAGAGTTGCTTTCACTTCCCCTTTTTTTTGGAGTGGAGGATGGTTTGAGACATTCAGTGACTATAACTTTGGATCTAATTTATTTCTATAATTTATATACCACTTAACACCAGTCTCCAAGCAGTGTAGTTTAATCATGCATTTCATATGTTTTGGCTTTGTTTTTGTTCTACGGCTTACCAAAATTATGTTTCTGTGTCTGACAGTATGATTACTATTTTCTAGGGGCTGGCAAGGGTTGATTGCATATGGATGCCATTCTCTTGTTCTGGTTATTGATTCCAAGACTGCCCAGACCCTACAGGTTTTGGAAAGGCACAAAGCTAATGTTGTCAAGGTAAGTTAATAACATTGTAACCTGTTTAATGTAAAAATCAGGTAAGAGAAAATAATCAAACAGCAACCCTATCATGTTTAGGCAGTAATTGCATTTGTTTTCATAATGCTGTTTCAGTTGTAAGAAGTAACAAACGTATTGCTATCTAACCACACCTTTTGACAGAAGTGTTCATGTTCAGTGTTCCAGTGAGCCATTATTTTCAATCAAGATATTTCATTCCTATCGTCCAGTTCTCTTATTTTTCTTTTTTACCTACCGCTCAACATTTTGTGGCTACAGAGTATATTCAGAGGCTACAGAGTATATCCAGTCTTCACTGGGCTCTTGTGGGGGGAGGTGCTTGTTATGTTTTTTTTTAAGTTTGTTGTACTTCTCCACATCTTGGTGGTCCTCCTCAAGCTTTGGTTTAATTTCTGTCAGCACTTACCACTTGATTTCACTGTCAGAGAGAGTGCTGTGAATTTGAAATTTGTTAATTTCAAATTGCCATATAAGAATATTGGTGGTATTAGATTTGTTTGCCCCTTGGGATTTATTCACTCTTCCCAATTCATTTATTACTTACTATACAACCTCATGTTACAGATTTGTAAGTTGCATATACTAGAATTAGTCTCAGGTTCTAATTTCTTCAGTTCCTTTATTTATTTATTTATATTAAATTTATATACCGGCCTTCATTTGTAGATCTCGGGGTAGTTCATGACATAAAAATACAGTATAAAAACGCAATTCGTTAAAAATAGTATTTCATGCTTCTGTTTATGTTACAAATATCTCTGAATGTTGCTTACCTTCCTATGTTTAGGTTAAATGGGCTAAGGAAAACTACCATCACAATATTGGATCACCTTATTCTTTGCGCTTGGCTTCTGCTGATGCCACTGGAAAGATCATTGTTTGGGATGTTGCTACAGGAGCTGCTCGCTGTGAAATACAAGAGCACACAAAACCCATTCAAGGTAAGGAAACTTTTGTATGTATGTGTGTTACACCATCGTGCAGTAATACAGTGGTACCTCGGGTTACATACGCTTCAGGTTACATACGCTTCAGGTTACAGACTCCGCTAACCCAGAAATAGTACCTCGGGTTAAGAACTTTGCTTCTGGATGAGAACAGAAATTGCACTCCAGCGGTGCAGCGGCAGCAGGAGGCCCCATTAGCTAAAGTGGTGTTTCAGGTTAAGAACAGACCTCCAGAACGAATTAAGTTCTTAACCCGAGGTACCACTGTAAATGGATTTGCTAGCTAAAAGAAGAAGGTTACGAACAATAAGTAGTCAATCTGTATGCTTCCATTTACATTCAAGTAATTCCTGCATGTGTGTTCCTTCTTGCGTGGAAGACATATTTCATGTACCTGTTTTTAAACATTTAATTTGCTTTGCTGGAGGGACTTTTGAATAGTATTGTACTGTAAGTATATCTGTTAGGAAAGTCCAGAGGCCCAGGATGGTGAGAAGTTTAGAAACCGAATAATCCTGTGAGGAATGGTTGAAAGAGCTGAGTGGGTTTATTCTGGAGGAAGATTTAAGAGGAGACAAGATAGTGGTCTTCAAATATCTGAAGGGCTCTCATGCAGAAGATGGAGCAGGCTTGTTATCTGCTGCTCCAGAGCACAGGTCTGCAATTAATGGGTGCAAAGTGCATGAAAGCAGATTTCAGTTGAACATTAGTAAAAACTTTCTAAAAGAAAGATTTGGTTTAACAGTGCAGCAGGCTGCCTCAAGAGGTTGAGGCCTCTTGTTTAAGTGAAGCTTGGAACAGCCACCTGTTATGGAGCCTGTGGTTGCATCTTGCAGTGCAGGTCCTACATTGAGCAGGGAATTGTGATTAGATGATTCTTAGGTCCCTTCCAGCTCTATAATGCAATAGTAAATCCTTGCATTTCAAGGTCATAACTCTCTTCTCATCTCACCTCCTCTGGGCATAACAATCTCCCCCCTTAGTTTTCTGTACCCACTACCCCCTCTCACATCCTCCATGGTCTTACAGCTTCCCTTGGTTTATTTGTCCAATATTGACTTACTGTCTCGTACTGCTGACAAAGTCTAATAAATATAAACGACCCTCAATTTATTGTGTGGTTTATACATTTTGAAAAATGTGTTTATTTCAGTGTTCTGTTGCTCCTATCTATTTCTATTAGTGCCATAGGGAAAGGGTTTAAAACCTGCAGAGTTGGGCTTATACAGACTATCCAGCCTTGTTAAATATGACAAACAATGCCCCATTGTTCAAGGCTACCCTAAACTTGTTAGCTCAGTTTCTGGAGAAGGCCACTCTGTCGCTAGGCAACAGTGAATTAGTTCAGCAGCTGCATTTCAGCTTGTGGTACAGGTTGTATAACTGCCGATTTGCATCCACAACCAACAAACTACACTATCACTGAAGCTTGCATACCCAGACTTGTTCATATTTTTTGCTTCATCACAATGCCTGGCAGGTGGGGGAGAAAATTTGGGATCTTTTATGTGAAAAGTAACAGGTATCCTGATATTTCTCTTGATGATGCCAGCAAAGCAATATTGGAGAAGACTGCTAATGATATAGACTAACTTGCAAAAATGAAACATTGTATAGAGCCATAGCTCAGGGCTGAGCCCCTGTAAAAGGTCTTCATGTCATCTCTATCTTCTTTTTCAGCCCTTTGGTATCATGCAATTGATCTAAGATGGATTTGGTTTAAAATCTAATAAAGGTATTTATGGTAACCCTGCCAGATCTATCATTATCAAATGGCACTAATTGCTCAATTTAATATCTTTCAGTAAAAGGCAGTAATAATATACAGGGATTCCCCTTTAAATTGTGAACTGTGGCATCTTGAGCAAAAAGAAAATACTGTATTCAACATTTTCTCTCTCACTCCCCCCCCCATTAATGCCCTCTAATGTCTCTCAGTTCTCTTGTGGCACTCCACTCTCTCTCCCCCTCCCGACTTTCCAGGAAGCTGTGCATCTCCTGCTGTGTATATGCTGCCCACATTCCTCATTATCATCACAGTTATAGATGTCTTTTATTCCTGAAGTAAAATTCACAGCATCTTGGTGAAATTTAATTCCAGCATGGGCTTTCATGAATAATTGATAGTTTGCTTGCCAAGTTGTCTCATAAAAATTTTCATGTACCATAATGACCCAAAGATTCCACCCCCACCCCTTTACTGCATTGCTAAAAAGCTGGTGAAGTTACGCGAAATCTGTGTCGGTTGCTTCTGATGATGATGTGGAAAAGGAAATGGTCACAATGCATAACTTAACTATTCAATGCTGAATACTTTTATCTAATATTAAGGTGTTTAATTGCTGAAAAGGTTTTGCTGTTATTTAGTTCTGATGTTTCTCTGTGGACACATTCGTTATCTATAAAGCTGCCCACATATGTAAGGTAATCTTTAATGCATTCCTCAATTGTTGGCAACATAAAAATGAAAGCATTGTAATTCCCTTCCAATAATTATTCACATTCTCTTCAGAATTCATTTTTCTTAGATGTCATTTTTACTTATTAATTTTAGCTTCCTCTGTCACAGAAAAGGAATAGTTTAAAATGAGAACAATGATATATAGATTACTTTTTCCCACTGATGGAGGTGGCTGATACCCACATCATTTTTTGGCCCTGTCTCCTTTTTTGCTCTGTTTTAGAAGTGGCAGCCCATTTGTATAATGCCACACACCAAATTGCAGCAAAATTGTGTCATGCAACATATCCAACTGCAGCCATTTTCTGGCTGGCACCCCATAACATTTTCTCAAAACTCCAGATGTGCCCACTGGTCCCAAAAGGTTGGCAACCTCCGACATAAAGTTTAGTTTTGTGTAGACTTAGGTATTATTTTAAATCGCTTCAGGACTTTCCTAGTGAAAAGTGATGTTACAGTATAATCCTAAGATTTAGATTTATTAGATTTGTAGGTGCCATTTGAAGATCTTTATTGCTAGCTGATGGGCAAAGAAATAAAATCTACACCCATTATGTCAGATATTCTGGAACAGTTATTGATCTGAGCCTTGGTGATCCTAGCTGTAAAAAAAAAAAAAAGACTTCATGATTAAGATTTGCTGAAACAACTTACTGCTTAAAAAGTGCAATTGAAATATGAATTCTCTTCAGTGAACTTAGTGGCAGGTTTTGGGTTTATATTTCATTTTTCATGCTTACCTGTGAAATACAGAATGTGTATTAATTGGTTGTCTTTAATCAAGTCTTCATTCATCTCTGTTGCCCATGGGGTGGGTGGCTAAAATTATTCCACCAGAAATTTTTGTTCATTTAACATTTATAAGCCACTTACTAGAACAAAAGACCTCTAAATGGCTTACAATTTTCTTGGAAGTGCAGAAGAAACATCACGTAGCACCTGCAAAAGTGCTAGTTTCACAGACCTAAGTGCTTCAATGGGCATACACTGGATCAAGTAAACAGGTCTCAAACTGTTGATGGATTTATATACTAATAAATAGCACCTTGAATTTGGCCCAGTAACACATTGGCAGCCAGTGCATATCTCTGAGCAGGGCACTGTATTGTGTCTGGGTCTCCTGTCAGTGGAGAATACTACAGCATAATTTGGATTGCTGATTGTAGCTTGAAGTAATCCAACATTGATGTCATCTGTGCCTGAACTACTAAAGTCACCGTATCAAGAATTTTTTCTGTTGGAATTAATTCATAACTATGGAAGTTGCAAATACAGCATTAGGTAATGTTGGCAGCTTAAAAGTTTTTAGCTAAACTTTGCTAAATACAAGTAAATAAGCATGCTAGGGAAAATATTTCCAATGCACCCTGAAAAATTTCTGCATTTTCTGCTGGACAAAATATTTTGGTTGAAGAATAACAAGTCTTCTGTGTACATGTGGAAACAAACAATCGTCTCCACCCTAATGGGCTGCTTGCTTGAAGCCAGCTCAGATCTCTCAAAATATTGTGTTAACACCATGTTGTTACAGTAGCTATGTTTTCAATTTTTATTTTCAAACCAATCTTCTTGCCATACCTCTCCTTCCTGACTTCCCAGTTAACAAAGGGAAAATGCAATTTACACTTGCACACTTATGTGGGTTTGGCTCAGGATTCCTTAACTGCTGGTTTTTACTAGCTTCAGTCTCTTTTGATGTCAAGCCCTACCCATGTACAAGTGCCATGTTCTTTCACTGATTGCAAATGTTCTGGGATGTCCTTGGGTGAGATACATTGGCAAGGGGTGGCAGCAGGACCTGGCTGAGTTGTGTGAGCTCTTGGGACCATGAGTTTGTATGAGGAAAGAGGTGCTGGCTGTGATGGCTCTCGTTACTTGTAAGATGGTTTGAGCAATTCTGGTATCAGTTTTTCTTTTTGCATCAATAATGAGAGCTCTAACTTTGTTTTACTGATGCCACATTCTGATGTTTGCCTCAGAAACCTAGAAGATGAAAAGGGGAGCTGTTATTTTTAGTTCCAAGATTGACTGACTGTTTTCATCTCTCCCTCTCTTTCCTCCACCTTTCCTTTCCCTTCCTTTCCTTTCCTTTCCTTTCCTTTTACTGTTTGACAGACATGCAGTGGCTGTGGAATCAGGATGCCTCTCGAGATCTTCTCCTTGCAGTTCACCCACCAAATTACATAGTGTTATGGAATGCAGATACTGGCACTAAACTCTGGAAGAAAAGTTATGCAGAAAACATCCTTTCTTTTTCGTTCGATCCCTTTGATCCTTCAAATTTGACATGTGAGTTCTGTTTTAGGAAAGTATGTTACCTTTGTGTTCTACAGGACTGAATATTGCTGTCATACAAAATCTTGCTGTTAGATTATAACATGTGCCACAGAGGCTTAAAAATGCAACATGAGAACTGAGAACTGAGAACTGAGGACAGCTTCATTAACCTTGTGTTATTTTAGAGGTAGTTTGTGGGGGAAATGAATCTGAATGGTCAAATAAGATTGTGAAGGGAAGTAATGAATTCGTAGTTAATTACAAAGTTTGCCTCAAGTCAAAGTTGTGGAGAATGAAATTGTAGCTCATATTACAATGCAAATACAGCTTTATCATGCCTATGGGGTGTAATAATTAGAAACGAGGAAATAGCTTCTGTGTATTACATGTGAAGAGATACGTAGCTTGGCATGTTCACTCAGAAGATGGTCCAATTAAATTCACTGGAACTTGCTTTTGGGTGAGTTGTATAGGACTGCAGCGCACACTCTCTCTCTCTCTCTATATATATATTCTTATATAAAGTGTTGTGTATAAGAATTGGCAGCATTTTCCAACCTGATTCCTTGTACTACGTCCCTTTAGTCTCAACAAGCATGGCCAGTGGTCAGAGATTATGGGAATTGTGGTCCAAAACACCTTGAAGGTGCCTGGTTGGGGAGATTGCTTTGGGATAACACAATATAGTTGAGGAGCTGCAAGTAGGTGAAAATTAGTGGAGCAACTGTGTCTGCCAGTAACCTTACATAATTTTTTTTAAAAGGGTTAAAATTCCATGGCCTCAAATAAGAATGGATCATCTATCACTCTTTTCCACAAGGATGTTCCTTTTATCAGTTTGCCATGTATTTCAGCATTCGTAAAATTTGTTACCACTTTTCATTCCAGAAGTACATTGAAAAGTGAAATGCTACCATCAAATATCTCCTCATATTTTACAGTAATAACTGTCTCTTTTCTTGGTGCAGTGCTTACAAGTGAGGGAATAGTGTTCATTTCGGACTTCTCTCCTTCCAAGGCTCCTGTCAGTTCAGGGAAAAAGGTTTACATTTCCAGCCCTCGTTCTAGTCCTGTTCATAACAAGCTGGTATCTGCTGCAGGGGCTAAAAAGGCCCTGGACAAAGTAAAAATTCTCATCACTAATGAAAAACCAAGGTAGGTCTTAAGCATGTGTTTTCTACTGTGCTCACAAGACTTGTTCTATATAGTTAAATCTATATAATGCCTACAGTGCAAGGCATGTTGTTCTGGCTAATCAAGAATAGGGTAAGCCCAGTATTCCATTTTTGTGCTTGAGACCTGGGATTGCTGTCAGTGTTTCAAGCCATATATGGCTGTGAAATATCAGGCTTTCAGAATGAGGTATTTCCTTTATCCATGTAGACATGGTTACTTACCAGTTTTCCCTTTGTGACTTAAGTTATCTTGCTTCAAAAAAGTTTATTTACTTTTTCACTTTTGAAACAAGATTGCTGCCAACTGGAGCAGACTTCTGCTTGTGCAACCAGCACAACCAGCTTGTGCAATCCATCCTGTGCACCCTTGAAATCTGCTCCGGGCATCATTTGGAGCAAATTTTCGGGGCATGTTGGAGACTGCTTGCGGGGTGAGGAGAGGAAAGCAAAGTCCCAATGCACAAATGTAAGTCTGCTCGTGCACCATTTGGATTCCTCCCAAAGGGAAGCAGTGAGTAAATTTCTACTCTAAGAAGTGATGATTGGGTCAGCTCTACCAATAGGTAAGGGAAGGCAGCTCATTTTCAGATTTTGGAGTACCATTGCAGGGCAGAAAATCATAAGTTATTTGGTTTTTTATATTCTTTTTGCCATTTGAGGGTGGTCTTACATAGAGTTTATTGTTTGTCTTGGCCAGTAGGGCTGTTTCTAAACAAAGATGACATTATATCCGTGGTTCCCAGCATGGGGCACATGCCCCACACGGGGGCAATTTGATTTTTAAGGGGGGCAATTTGAGAATGAGTTATTAACAGTTAATGGCCTTTTAGGTTGCCTTCACATGAGTAGCAGTTCTTTTTGAATAATAAGAATTTTATGTTACCGGGGTGGGGGTGGGGTGGTTGTCAGGATTTTAGAGATGCTTAAGTGGGGCATGGCCGCAAAAAAAGGTTGGAAACCACTTCATTATACAGTGGTGCCCCGCAAGACGAATGCCTCGCAAGACGGAAAACACGCTAGACGAAAGGGTTTTCCATTTTGGAGGTGCTTCGCAAAACGAATTTCCTATGTGCTTGCTTCGCAAGACGAAAATGTCTTGCGAGTTCCTGCGGGGTTTTTTTCCTCCCCCCCCCTTTTTCCCAAGCCGCTAATCCGCTTATCAGCTGATCGGCTAAGCCGCTTATCAGCTGATTGTTAAGCCGCTTATCAGCTGATCGCTAAGCCGCTTATCAGCTGATCCGCTAAGCCCGCTAAGCCGCTAATACGCTAAACCGCTAATGGGCTTGCTTCGCAAGACGAAAAAACCCGCAAGACGAAGAGACTCGCGGAACGGATTCTTTTCGTCTTGCGAGGCACCACTGTATTCAGTAAATAAGCCAGTTGGACCTTTCAATACTTTCTTTGAATGGACTATAAACTACTGCGTGCATTTTCAAGCACTGGAATTCATGGACAAGTTCCAGGGATTTGGATTCTGAAAAAAGCAGTACCCTGAATCATTATCTCATGAAAAAATGAGGTTGCATGATAATTGTCATTATAAACTGCCCAGAATAAAAATTTCAGTAATGCAATAAGAACATTTGAAGGGAGGGATGGTATTTTTGTTGTTGGTTGGTTGGTTGTATTTGTTGTAGCATAAAAAAATAAGTTTATATAAATTGCTTCAGAATTTATCTATTTGTTCACATGTGGTGGTATTTCTACATGGTTGTGGGGCATTTGAGAATGATCACAGGGAGGAAATGTGGTAAAAATTGGCTTCCTGATTATGTAGTCTGCTGGAAAGCTCTCCTGTAAAAAGCCCTGTTTAAAATGTGTGCTCTTTTGTGGGTCTTGGAAGTGTCTACTGATGTGTAAATGTGTGTGTGTGGGGGGGGGAATCTCTGTTGATTTTTTAAATATTACCACCTATTAAACTTGATTATTGCATTTTGATATTTTTCCTGCAAACAATCAAACATTAAGTTCCATATGGCACAATTTTCCTTCCTTGTTGCTGTTTTTCATCCTGAATACCTTTAAATGTGTCAGTAATTGTTTTAACAAATTCATCAGACTGTATTGTGAATCAGTGCTGAATGCAACATGTTAATGTTGGTAAGATCAATACTTTAATGAGAGCTTTAAGTTTTGAACAATAGGCTTGATGGCATCTCATTTTGCAATTCTTTGTGAATTGTGATCTCGTGTCAGTTGGAAGGGCATGAAAAGCCTAGAACTATTTACATTTTCTCCTTGTCAAAAAGGAAACTAGTGGGGCAGCTGCCGTTTCTTTGTTGCCCAGTAATGATAGAAGTATTTTCGGTGATGACTTGCACATGCCCTTAAGAATTATGGGTCTTACCCAAGTTTCATTGATTTCAGTGGGACAAGTATAATTAACTTTGTCTGAATTGGAGCCTTTTATTAGGATTAGACAGATGTAAGTGCTTGCCCTATTCCATGCCCCTCTCAGATTGCTTTAAATGGGTACATGCAGATATGAATAAGCTGCAAAGGCTGAAATATTATAAATAAATGTGATATAATAGTGGTGAATTTCCATTTTTCTTTTGCTGTTCTCTGTAATCAGGGATGGGAGAAGAGGGCATTGAACATGACAGGTGGGTTATCGTAGCTAAAAACTAAAAGGGTGTGATGGTGGTGGTTATAAACCCATGTAGAGAGCCTGGGTTTACTCCAGAACCTAAACCTGCGATTGCAACTGATCCTGGCTCTGTATGATGTTTCCAAAGGCACATTTGTCACAGTTTACATGTTCAGGTTTATACTTAAAACTTAGGTGTGTACTTGAATATAACCTGTAAGATTGTTCTCACTATCCAACCAATACGTCTACTCAGTTAATGAAAGAACCCTCTTTTTCTTGGCCCGGGCAAAACCCTTTAAAAATGCTTACTGCTTCCCTTAGTAACTAATGTAATGGCTCGGCTGTTCTTAAGAACGTGGAGAGATGCTGCTTTTATAGTTGCATAATCAATTATTGATGAGAGAAGCATCTGGGATGGGCTTGGTAGCTGTTTGCAAAGCTTGATTACATATAGCTGTTTAATTTGATCATAGATTGCATTTTGGATATTTGAACACTTGAAATCCTGGACCCTTTGCAATGAAATGTATTTTAATAAGACTTATTTGTGATGTGTCTAGTGCTGAATCAGTAACACTGAATGACTGCCTTCAGCTATCCTACCTGCCTGCCAAGCGAAACTACATGTTGTTGCTCTACCCAAGAGAAATCTTGATTCTTGACCTTGAAGTAAACCAGACAGTAGGTGTGATAGCAATCGAAAGAACAGGAGTGCCTTTCCTCCAGGTAATAAATCCATCTTGCCATTGTGCATGCCTTCGTTTTCATTTTATCTTTAGATTTCCATTCTGCCCTGTATTTGTCCAAAGCTGTAGATGACACAAGAGACAAAACACTTTAATTTGCAGGCTAAATGCAACCCTGTGCTAAATAAGCTTGTTTCTTCCACAAAGCATTTCCCAAAGGTTTTATTGAGACTTAGTGCCTTGGCTCACTTGCTCAGTTTCCTTATGGAATACAGATGTTTCTGTTGATACACTGGATGTGTGCAAAAATCATCCAATACAAAAGTTGTGAGTCAGTGAGGAACATGAAAGCAAAGGTTGATTGCTAAAAAAATAAACTAACCTTGAAGGGGAATTACAACTGACAGCTATAACCTTGAGATCACTTTTTCCTCCTTGCTAGCGCTATTCCAGAATAATTGTTGACAATTTGATTGATGTGAGCTGTTGAAGATTATGGGTGACAAAATGGAGACTAGAACATAAGGCTGCAATCCAAATCTACTTACCTGGGAGTAAGCCTCATTGAACTCAGTGGGACTTACTTCCGAGTAGGCATTGCTAGGCTTTGCAAAGTGTATTTTATAAAATCCCACAAATACAATAAGCAGTTGCTGGGTTTTTATTGTGAGTTTGGATGCTGGTAGTCTTGCGGTCAATGTGTAGTGATAAGCAGTAAGGTATGAGACACTTAAGAGTCTGACATGACCAATGATTCAGCTCTTTAGTGTCTGCTAGAAAAATCCACCTCATTTTGTGGTATTATAAATATTACTAAAGTGGAAACAACCCCATAGTGAAAAGAAATGGCATGTTATACTTGTTTAGAAGTTTCCTCCAACAAAGGCACAAGCTTATTTGAACATCTGTTTCTGCTTGGTTAGGCAGCTAAGTCATGTCTAAAGCCTTATCTGAGCTGCCTTGATCTTTTAGAATATTTTATTTATGTGAGCTAAAAAGAAATAATGCTAAGCTTTATAGCTTTTGTCTGAAACTAAAATGTGTGTGTTTTCTCACTTATGTGAATGGTTCACATTTATGGCTGCTAAGATGGTGCTATTTTGAATGTATTCATAAAAAATAAAATTCACTTTCATGTGATTATGGCAACAGAGGTTTATTATTTTGAGAAAAGAATTAAAACCTGAATGATTCCATTGATACAAGCACTCATGTGTTTTATTATGACAGAGTAGCTGAAATCCCCATTATAATTAAACAATAATATTGTTTTAACTAAATAATAATAAATAACTATAATCAGCTTTCGAGACATCTGAAAAATCGTTCATTGCAAAGCTGCCTGTAATTGGGTGTCCTGTCAGACATTTAAGTTTTTTAAATCTCATTCCCCAGTCTTTGTCTGCTGTGCTCGGTATCGCCATCAGTGTGGGAACAGCTGAAGCTGTCTTTGCTAGAGGGGGTTGGATAGAGCCTCTCATCTGATGTTTAAAGAAGTGGTGTACCTGCTGGTTGTCATATGATGTGCAGTTTTCTTAAACTGAATGTTCTCACTATACATATATACCCAAGGTTTTCAATACAAATTTTAAGGTGTGGTGGTGGTGAGTTAAATCTTCTACTTCTACTATCCAGGTTCTTTAGACGGTATTAAACTAAATTATTGCATGAGCGGAACAACTTCATCTTGTACAATGGCAATTTTGCCCTTCTTCACTTCCTCTGTGTACCCTATGCTGCCCCCAAATCCTGTCCAAAGGGTGGAGGAAGCCTCAGATCAGATTTAGGGGTATGTGGGACGACGAGAAGGGGAAAATGTCCTGTTGAGCAATCTGAAGTGCTGCTTGTGCACTTATTTAGATCAGTACTTTGCACTGCTTTTTGCAGGGAAATTGCCCACTGTGGGGGGACAGGACACCTTCTATCACCCGTAATCATTCTAATTTTATATTATGTTAAGTGTGCATTTACTCTAAGCAGTAAATTACTTATTAGCATTAATAATTAACATATTCAGCCCTTTCTTTTTGGCAAGTAACCTGCCAGACTACCCTGTGACATGTACAAGCGTGTGTACAATTGGGAAAAATGGATTGATAGAGTTCTGTTTGTCTAACAAAATAGTAGTCTTTTAAAAAATGAGTTCCATCCTATTCCATAGTGAATAATGGGTCAATAAACTTTTAGGACGTTTGAGATATCTGTAACAAGTCCTCCTCTTGTTTACGTGATTTGTGCAGGTTTATTAATATGGAGGGTAAGATTTCAATAGGAACATGAAGAACAATATTAAACTTGGGGGTTCTTGTTTGTTTGTTTGTTTAGGTAATCCCATGTTTTCAGCGTGATGGTTTATTCTGCCTGCATGAAAATGGCTGTATTACTTTGAGAGTTCGCAGATCTGTTGGTTGTGTAAACAGTACATTAAACGAAGATCCAGGTGAGCAAGCTACTCCAGTCTACCGAACTAGGTATCTAGCATTTGAAGTTACAAATTCAATGTTACAACCAAAATTTGCATTTATTCTTATTAAAACTTTGGCCATCAATTTTCCTACCTGTATTATTTCCAGTATTGTATAGTAAATAACTTGAAGGTGTTTGATTACACAAGTCAAATAAAATTCCCCCACCTGGCCCAATGCTGAGATGGAGATGAGTGTAATCCCAACTTTGGCCTTGCCTTTCACTGGCAAGTATTGCTGCATTGGCCAGCAATATATGTAGCACTCACACTGAAATAGGTTAGTGACCCCTGGCACAGATTCATTAAAATAGACTTGAACAGCTGTAGATGTGACAAATGTACCCTGTACCCTCACATTCTAAATGTCTTTTTAGTAATTAGTTACTATGTCTTTATTATGTAAATCCTCCAGTGTACTGACCTGCCTCTGTTTCAAATGCCCCAATATTTTGTGTACCTCTATATTATTAAAAACATTGTCCGTTTTTATCATACTATAGATGTAACAGTGGTAACCAGCAGAATTAGCACAAGAGCCCGGTGGTTGTTACATTTGACTGAAAGCTGTGCGTATCTGCTATCTCATGTTTTGACATTTGCAGAACCTGACCCCATTCAGGAGCTGGTCTATGACTTACGAAGTCAGTGTGATGCTATCAGAGTTACCAAGACCGTTCGCCCCTTCACTATGGTGTGCTGTCCTGTGAATGAAAATTCTGCAGCTCTCATAGTCAGTGATGGTAGAGTAATGATATGGGAGCTGAAGTCCATCATTTCAGGCCGAAGTCAACGGACTAGGTAACCTTACTGAATGTTCAGTGTTTTTTTTAATTAGTAGTTTAAACACAAGGAATCCGTGGACTTGACTAAGCTGCTTCATTTCTAATGTTTATAACCATGTTGTTTAGTACAACTTTCTACAACAAGGGTGGTTGTTCAGCAAAGCTGTCATTTAAAATGAGCAGCCAGATGACTATGGCTAATAGTAACGTCTGACAAGACTTGTATATGATTTATACTAATGTTGTGTGTATTAGGCCACAATTAATAGGCTTATTGCACCTGTGTGATACAGCATGGGTTGTCATCTTGTTTTGTGTATTATTCTTGGTAATAGTGGTGCTGTCTTCTCTCACCTTCAAAATCAGTGTTGATATAAAATGAGCTCTCTCATTCTTAAAAGATCTCAGTTAGCTCCTCAATATCATTCCATCAGTTTAAAGAGGCATGATCACAACAAGCTATGTCTGCACAGAGGACAAACTTGTATATAGCAGAGAGGTGCAGCATGTTGATGTCATCTGTACATGAGGCACTCTAAGGGATCTCAGTTGACACAGAATGGGGAAACCAGCCATTAATTGCAACAGTGCAGTAATGTGCTGTGTTTTACTCTTGCCCCTGGACATGAATGCCATTCGTTTCATGAAGGAATACCATCAGGGTGGACGACTAATCAGTTGTTAATTCCAGCCACTGAGAATCAAGGATGCTCCTTTTTGTAGAAAAGGAACCTTTCTGCATAGGTCATTCTGGATTCTGTTTGGTGGTCAGGCTAAAGCATGATATAACGTTTCATTCTTCAGTTTTATTGTGATTGTCTTTTTGCAGCAATTCAACTGCATCACCTTTGTACTCGCCGGTCTCATTCTGTGGAATACCAGTTGGGGCATCTCAGAATAAACTTCCGGACCTGTCACTGGATAATATGATAGGTAAGAGTATGTGAGCCATAACAGTCGTCTATATTTTACTTCAGCTTTGGTAACTATTTTAGCTTGCTATAGTATTCTAAAGCAAAAAGCTGTGTTTCACAGTTTTGAGATTGGTAATTGCTTATGGCCAAATCATGAAATCTATTTTGCTTTTTCTGTTATATTGTACATCAGGGCAAGGCACACTTTCTACCGAAGAACAACAAAAAAGTTACTGTTTGCAAGAAGTGCATTTAAGGTTCCTGCTAACAGGGCTTCTTTCAGGACTCCCTTTGCCTCCCTTTGCTATCCGCATGTGCCCACCTCTCACCACAAAAAACTTAAAACAGTATCAGCCTCTCCTTGCTGTCGGTAAGTGTCTTAAACAGTACAGTTGAATATATTGCTCATTTTGACTTTTTGCAGTGATACGTTTGTATGATAAACTGTGTGTCATTCTGGGGACTATTGCTGTCTGACATAGCATGCCCTTGAGTTGCTTGAATTACTTCCCAGAATAAATGCTGTCTTAAAAGAGAGATGAAAAGTTTTTCCAGTTCTTAGATATTCCTGCCATATATATTATTAATTTTGTGATTTGTATCCCATTCGAAGACAAACGTTTAGTGTGGCTAAAAATGCATTTTCCCTCTCATTAAAATACAAAATGCTAAAAGAGCAGTGAATTTAAATGACCCCAGCTAAATACCTGCTTAACTCTGGCTCCAAAATGCCAATCAGCACATTAAGTCCTGGCTTATGTTTTAATATAATGCATTCTTAAAACTGGTTTAGTGAGGTATTAAAATGCATCTTCTGAAAGCAATTAATGGATTCAGTGTATAATGGCTGACCTGATCCCATGCTATGTGAAGAAATCCAAATTGTGCCCACTCAGATCTTGTCATGGCTTGCCTTAGCTTTTACACAGCACAATAGATTTTTGAAGGTTCAGTACTGACGCAAGTTGAAGTTTGATGCTTACTGTGGCAAGTTTCTCACTGACTTTTTAAAGGAAGCATTTATGTATGAAATGAGTCCTAAGTTCAATGCATTCATTCTGCTTGTGCAGTGACAAGGTAATAAATCAAAATCAGTCTATCAGGATTCTGCCTTGAAGGTTACTTATGGTCTGGCACCCTCCTTACTTGAATATGCAGTGGTATCTCAGTTTTCGAATGTCTCGAAAGTTGAACGTTTCAGTTTTTGAACGCCAAAAACCCGGAGGTAAATGCTTCCGTTTTCGAACGCACCTCGGAAGTCGAATGGCTTCCGCTGAGTTTTTTTCCAATTTTCTCTATTGAGTTTGCAGACCACCCTTGAGTGGTATTCTCTTCCGGAACAGATTATGTTCGAAAAACGAGGTACCACTGTATAAAGTCTGTCCACTTGGATTATCTTCTACACAACTACCTACCCAAGTGCTACTATTTATGAAGCATACCTTCAGCCTTGTGAGAAAAAAGACTGCAAAAGTCACTTGCCTACTAAGAGGCCAGTACCTTGTGTTTTAGTATTGGCTGTGGAAAAGGACAGGCTCCTTTCTCCACGGGCAACATGAAAGCCCAGGCTGTTAATGGTGTTAGCAGCCTGGTTAAAGAAAGCAGGGGAGCGTCTACCAAATGAGCAGACAGAAAAATCTGTCCCTCCACTGCCAGCCTGCTTCATTTCTTCGTTTGGTTGTAGATGAAGGGACTTCCCTTCCTTTACGGCTGGCATAGAAATGTAGTTGGCTGGTGGAGGGGTTGTGGAACATTCTGTCTCTCCTCCGACAGCTCATTGAATTTCCATGCTTGCTGCAGAGAAGGAGAAGCTCCTTCCCCCTGGCCTCCTTGGACGCTATCTTTGCAAGCATAGGAGTGAGAGTGGCCCATTTCACTTCCACTGTGCTACCCACTTTCCTCCATGGAAGTAGTCTATGTAGCCTATGGCTACCCGGTGAGCTCTTACACTCAAGGCTAGTGTAGTTACCAGTGGATCGGGCCTAATGTTGTGGGTGGGTGATGTAAAACCTGCCTAGCAATCTAATCAATCACTTGAGGATGAGTGAATAAAGGAAACTATGTGGAAAAATAAGTATAAGAGATTCACTTTTGTGGCGGGGAGGGGGACAAAGTTGATTTTAAAATGTCAATGTGATTTCTGTAAATTTCGCAATTATTCAATTGACTCCTTGCAGGAACAAGCAATGGCTCGGTCCTGGTGTATAACCTTACCAGTGGGCTCCTACACAAAGAGTTAAGCATTCATTCCTGCGAAGTCAAGTGAGTTTCTTTAAATAGTTGTTGATTTTCTGGAGAAAGGAAGATTAAAGTGTTTAATGTGCTATAAGCAATGCTGGCATTTGGCTTAATCATAAAAACTAAAAAGGAGTCAGTGCAGGAAGATTGTTCAGTAGGGTGGTTTTCTTTTGCAAATAGAGCCATAGTTCTGTGAAAACTGTTCTGCTTTATAAATATTTGAATTGGTAACTAATGTGTGTGTGTTGATCAAGGCTGAATATAAGCCTTTGTGTCCCTAGACATTGCAGCATAGAGAATTTCTGCCTAATGTGAGTCTGATTACAGCTATATTTATAAGGACCATACTATGTGCGAGGCGGTTCCACAATTCTTCCTCCTGACTGCGTTTTGTATTAAACAAAAGCCCTAAATGGCCATGGAAGTCTGAAAAGAGGAATGGAGGACCAGCAGCTATGGGAAGACCATGGACTGCTGAACTCTGAATTCTCATCCCATTGTTTGTCCTGTGTCTTTGTCCCTTGTGGGGGCGGGGAGGTGGACATGACAAGTAGGGAAAGGGTTGCACGGTCCTTTGAACCTGCTGACAGTACTTCACCATTGATCTTAGGCTTACGTGGCTGCTTATTTATTTAAAATTAAAACTTCAGGATATGGAATAATAAAATGGCTGTTACAAGTAACTTGGTTGCTTCGACTCTTGTGACATATTTCAGTGCAGATCAATCTGTCCACGGAGACTTACTTTTGTGCTACAACTGCATTTACAAGGAGATATACAGTTATGAGATGCTGCCCTTAGGTAACAATTCATGCTGCCCTTAGGTAACAGTCTCATGCTCAGCATGTTTTGTGAGCATCTCAGTGAATTCTGAAACTAGAGTAAACCAGACTTGTTGCAAAGCCTCTGGAAGTTACTAGCCTGGAAACATTTGTACCCTGCTCCTTTTTACTCAAAAGATTCCGCTTCATTTTCCCCCCATGGGTGCTGCTCTCATTATTACCAGGAAGTGGTGCCTTTCTGGTTCTCTTTCTCCTGCCCCCCCGCCCCGTTTTTAATAATGGCACACCCACCAAAGGGAAGTGCTGTTGGAGACAGTTCAAGCTGCTTGAGCCAGTCCTTCACCCAGAGTATCTCTGGGCCCACAGCTTGGGCCCAGAAGCTGGTCCACCTGGCAAAGCAATTCAGTTTCCCCCTGCTTTGCCAGCCTATTCAGCTTCTATATACCTACCGCCTGAGGAGGAGGTGAATCCACTTCCTTTGTAGCCAGTATAGTCATTGATCTGGCTGGCAAAGCAGAGCTGTGCTCCTGCTTCACTCACCTGCATGAAACTCCTGGTCAGAGTCAAGACAGAAATAAACAAGCATGCAATTTGAATATACAATTACCCATTTGTACTTGAAGCATCAGGTGTTTGGTCACAGATATGCGGAGCTGATTGAACTACTGGTCTCTTGTACCTACCTGCTGATCTTTTTTTAAAAAAAAGCAAACAAAACTTGCCACAACCTTTCAGGATGTGGTATGCTGGAAAAAAATCTCTGTGACAAACATTATTTTTGTTATCTATGCACAGAGATAGCACAGTTGGTTCCGATAATGCTTTTTCCAGGCTACAAGCAAATCAGAAAGTGGTTTATGCAATACAGTACATGACATTTATGTGTGACCTGTGGCAGACCAAATTGCTTTGGCTTATATCACTGCTAAAGACATCAAAACACAAGAAGCAGTTAACTAGAAGTGGGTGATCATGAAAATCTGCTGTGAGCTGTATTGCCAAGTTCATATAGAGGATTTCTATTGCACACAGCAGTGTCTAGGGAAAAGCGTATTTGCTTTTAATCTTTGTCTAATTTCTTTTCTCTTCCATCATGTGCTACTGTAACTTTGATATTCAGTTGCTCAGCTTTTTGAGTCTTTTGAATCCTGCCATGTTTTATATTAATATTGGAACATTTAATGCTTTAAACATTAGTGCTAATATTTCCCCAAAGTTAATTTTAAAACTATTTAAAATGCCTTATCTCATTGAAGTTTGAAAAGTGTCTTACATAATTTTATATACTTCACTTTAAGCATAATTATACTTTCATCTTCTTCTCAGTTTAATAATTGATCATGTTAGTTTGGGTACTGGAAAAGCCCAATCTTAAATGCAATCAAGTATTAAAAAACGTTTTGAACATTTTAGATTTTAAATTAAATTTAACTGAAATTTGCACATAGCCCATAACTATTGGGACTACGTCAGAAGTGCGTGAAATAAAAAATAAAGGTGTCTCACTTGAAGTAAGCAGATGGACAGAAGAGTGACAAAATGCAACTGAATTTTACATTTCCTAGCTACAAAACCATGGAACCTATTCATTATTAATTGTTCTGTTTTATATATGAAACAAAATATATTCTGTTTTGGGAAATAAGTTGTTATTATTCTTGTATATAGGTTCTGAAATTATGGATATTTTGAAAGGTAAAGGGTAAGAGTTTGAAAGCATACCAGTGCAAGTAGATAAATAGGTACCACTGCAGCGGGAAGGTAAATGGCGTTTCTGTACACTCTGGCACTCGTCATGGTGTTCCATTGTGCCAGAAGCAGTTTAGTCAGGCTGGCCACATGACCCAGAAAGCTGTCTGTGGACAAACGCCAGCTCCCTCAGATATTTTGAAATATATTTGTCAGTAAGCATTGTGGGACTGATTTACAAATGAGTACCTGCCATATATTTTCTTACCAAGTCCTGCAGAATCAAATAGAGTAAACTCCCAAATGTGAACAGTGTGGGTATGTGGACATAGTCAGCAAACATTTCCTTCCTTTAAAAAAAATAAAAATCTGCCGTATTTCCAAATTGCTCAGGCACTGTTTGTGCTCACACCAGTTTTATCCTAGCAACAATCCTGCAATGTAGATTAGAGTAGACCAGGCATGGCCAAACTTGGCCCTCCAGATGTTTTGGGACTACAGTCATACCTTGGGTTGAAGTAGCTTCAGGATAAGTATTTTCGGGTTGCGTGCTGCGGTGACCCGGAAGTAACGGAGCACGTTACTTCCGGTTTTCTCCGCTTGCGCATGCGCAGACGGTCAAAATGACGTCATGCGCGGAAGCGGCGAATCGTGGCACACGCAGACGCGGCTTGCGTTCGCTTCTGGATGTGAACAGGGCTCCAGAACGGATCCCGTTTGCATCCAGAGGTACCCCTGTACAACTCCCACCATCCCTAGTTAACAGGACCAGTGGTCGGGGATGATGGGAATTGTAGTCCCAAAACATCTGGAGGGCCAAGTTTGGCCATGCCTGGAGTAGACTATGAAAAAGTGAATGGCTTAGGTTTACTCAGTGAGCATCTTGCTCTTCCAGAAGGTATTCATCTAAATGGGTACCAGCTTGGTGATATCCAGAAATTGGGGATTACAATTCCCATCAGCCCCAGCCAGCATGATGAGGGATGACTGGAGTTGTTGTAGTTCAAAACATCTGGATGGCAGCACCTCAGCTAGTCCTCCTCTAAATCTCTGTGGGACTTTACTGAATGCATTGAGGGATGTGTTTGCATGCAGGTGCTCATTAGAACAAGCAGGTGTGTATCAGAACTTTTGAACTGATAAGCAACAATTTTAAAATAGCAAGGTGGAGGGGAAGGAGAGCCTAGCAGTTATTTCTCTTCTACAGGCCACATTTCCTCACAGAGGCTGTATGAATTTAATATTAAAGAGTGACTTGAGTAGGTTGCCTTGGGTTAGCCAGAAGTTAAGAAGTTGGAAAATTCAATATCTTTCTATTCCATAGTTAAAGTGGCTGTTACAAATTGCACTGTATATAAAAATACATGAGCCTTGCACTAAAGAAATAGGTGCAGTTCATAAAACCGGTGTTCTGTGACTATTAATTGCATCCAATGAGAGGTAGGTAGTTTTTTATGCCAACTTATCTGAAAAATGGCAATATTCCAGTAATAGATTGCTCTTGCATTAATGCTGGAACATTTGCTCTGATTTAATGCAGTGAACAAATTTCTTGCACCTTTATTCAAAGGACATTAGCGGGGAAAGGCTTTATCAAGCATTTATAAGCAGAAGTACACTTGACTCCCAATGCTTCTAAGTGGCTTTCCCCCCATCAGCATGAAACTATATTGCTCTCTATGTGTGTGTTGTGTTTAGATGTAGCAGAATAGCCCAGAATTCCAGAACAAAAAGATTCTTCTCCCCAGGACTCAGATAATAGGAGAGGACAAAAATGGGTAATGGGTTTTGTGTGTTGGAGACTTTTTTAGTGGATTTTGTCCTCAATTAAGAATATTTGTGCCATAAATCTTAATCCTGTACCTTATATTGCACAATCTGGTACAATAAAGTGTGTACAATAGAGTACATGCATCTTAACACATCAATGCATCTATATTCTCAGTGGGTTAAGAGTAAATCATTAAGATCATAATCTCAAGTATGTTTACTTAGGACTCAAAACAGTGCCATACACTGATTACTGTGGGGAATGAGTGTGTCAACCTGCATCTGGGAACACCTAAACACTGGATTGTGGAACACTGCATTGTGGGAAACCGAAAGTGACCATGGTGTGTCGTACTGCAATTTGTAAAGGTCTGGTTTCAGCATCATAGGAAGCTGCCTTATCCTGAGATGTGTAGAGCCTTTGACAAAATTGCACTTAAGTGGCCTTGTCATCACTGTGGAGTGTGCAGGCTGCCTTGGTTCTCTAGTGAGCTGCATGCCGTGAATCAGGGGGGCTGATGCCTACAGGTCTGGTGGAGTTAACATTTGTCCGAACCTGACTTAATATAGAGGAGAGAACATTATCATGCCTATCATATGGTGATGGTTCTCATCACCCTGGAATCAGAGTCCTCATTTTCAAGGGAACGAGGGCAAGGACTCTGAAGCTGAAAGAGAATGGCATACAGGGCCAGCCTCAAAAGCGTATCCCCTGGATCACCCATTAGTGCCTGTGCCCTGCTCTGAGAATGTAGTGTTGGCTTCCACAGAACATCTGTTTGAAGCCACTGGGAGCTGTCATTGGATTTGGAGCAAGGTGACATCAATATGCAGGCGATGCCCAGCTCATCTCTCCCTCCCATCGTAATCAGGAGAGGTGGTTTGAGTGCTAGATGGTGCTTGGAAGTGAACCAAAAGGTGAATTCTCCTAAGACAGGTGTTAGTATGTTCAGAGTTCTCAGCTCAAGACGTGGGGAAATGGCCTGTTCTGGGGTTGCACTGTCCTGGAAGGAGCTGGTCCATATCTTGGCTGGGTTTCCATTTAGAACTCCCATCCTCCTGTTTTTTCAAAAGCAGCTGCTCAGATTGCTAGTTTGTTTCTGGGCCTAATTCAAGGTGCTTAAAGCCCCAAAAGACTTTGGCTTGAATTCAACACCTGGTCCCGCTAGTGGAAGTCCACTCAAGTACTTCAGCTAGCACAATGGGGCTTTGTCCCTCTCTCTTTCCCATTGCCTACCCCCCATTTGGCCCCATTTGACATCAGGAGAACCATCAGAAGAGCACATGGGGGGAGGAGTGGGGAGATGGTTCACTTGGGCAAGCAAAAACAATTGCACTTCTAGACCAATTGTAACAGCAAAATGTTGAATTCCTTCCTTGGGCCTCAAATATCTGAAAGACTGCCTCCTTCTCTTCCATTTCAAGGGAAGGGCAAGCAGAATATACTGTAATTATTTTTTTTTAAGTAATTAAGTTTGTCTTACATACATTTAATGTTTCCAATTTGAGTGCTATTCAGTCTGCTATAATAATCTGTTGTATCTTCCTCCCTTCCTGCATCCCTGCAGCATGCAATTGGAGCCATATTTTCCCCACTCCATTAATCTGCAGCATTTCCTACAAATTCAGATAGTTTGCATAATGTGTTCTATATTTTCTACTCCGGCAGGGGCATTGAGTGGACAAGCTTGAGCGGCTTCCTTTCCTTTGCCACATCGACTCCTAATAATCTGGGGCAGGTGAGAAACGAGTTGCAGTTGGTTGATCTTCCCACAGGTAAATATATTGTGAAGCATAACTGTTGATGACAAGATAGGTGAGAAGTGATACCTGTGTAATGTAGGATTTTTTGCAGGCTCTTATCAGTTGGCTTCATCTCCATTATAAAGACAGGTGTGGAATAACTGAGCAAGGTGGCTAACGTAACTATTTTGAACTCTGAATTCAAAACATTTTAGACCATGATAGCTCAGCAAGCCCCACACTCATTTCATGAATCATCTTCAGGGCATAAAGGAGAAGAAGTGTCTATGTCAGCAAAGGGTTGAATACTATTACAACTGCATATATTTTAGCTTCAACACCAATTCATACAGCACTAGGTTATAATTCCAGCTAACTCAGTAGTTTTCATACTTTATGCAGTCTTGTCCTCATTCTAAATTTACTATATTTGCTGTATTTTCAACATCTCCCATTGGAGATAGCCCATTTCTCTGCATAACTTGAAGGCAATGGCCTGTGGCGTAGTGTGACTCTTTCCTTCTACTAGTCTTGAAATTATTTTAGTTCACAGTTTGGACAGGGGTTTCCAATGTCTTCAACTTGGTTTACTATATGCAAGTAGTATATATTAATCTGTACATGTTTTTAAATTTGAATCAGTTGGTTGAAGGAAATAGGATTTGTTCAGTTTTCATCACAATAATTAAAATTGATATTTATGGCAATATCTCTTCAGATAAAGGGAAAATGTTCCATGTTTATGCAATTTTAAAAATACTTTGAGCTATAGCTGGAAGTATTCAAAAAATAAAATCAGTTATGTACACTCAATATATTCTTAGATATTTAGAAAATGTAGTTTTTGCTGTAAGTTGAGTAATTAGCCCAACTAATGAACATCATGGCTGAGCTAGATTGTATGTTCAAAAAATAATGATTTAGCCACACCACCACACTGGTTTTCATACTGATGATACAAACTTAGCAGCCCTGTGCAAACCCCATTGAAATGAATTGTGATGGCTGGGACAGTGCCTTCCATCTTCTTTGTTTTCTTAGCAACTTAGTAGAATATGCTTGCTAGTAACAAACTTCATACTATATTGTGATTACTGCAGCACATTCAGCATATTTCTCAATTTCAAAAACGTTACCCAGATGGATTATGTTTTTAAAACGTTCATACTGTTTTATAACTATGAGCTATAATGAAAGAATGTTGGTGAGTAAATGTGAAAATACTGGATCAGTTCATTTTCCTCCACAGGCAATCTGCTATTGCTGCTTCCTGTGATGTTCTCACTAAGTAAAGAAATCTGCCACTGATAGGAAAAACAATTTTAGAAACGGCTAACGAAATGGAAACGTCCTTTCCATTTTCTGAAATAGCTTTCCCACAGTTTTTTAAATATACAATTCTATACTATTTAATATGGGGTTTGTGCAGAGGTAAGGGCAGCAAAAATAAGATTGTAATGATTTGGAAAAATCTGTTCCTATTCAAGTAAGCATATATTTTGACATTGTGCTGGTATCCTTCTATTAAACATAGGCTGTGAATATATCCAATACAGTGGTGCCCCGCAAGACGAAGGCCTCGCAAGACGGAAAACTCGCTAGACGAAAGAGTTTTCCGTTTTGGAGGTGCCTCGCAAAACGAATCTGCTATGGGCTTGCTTCGCAAGACGAAAATGTCTTGCGAGTTCCTGGTTTGTTTTTTCCTTTCCCCCTCTTTTCTAAGTCGCTAAGCCGCTTATCTGCTTATCAGATAAGCTGATAAGCCGCTAAAAGCCGCTAAAAGCCGCTAATAGCGCTAATAGCGCTAATCCGCTAATCCCATCAATGGGCTTGCTTCGCAAGACGAAAAAACCGCTAGACGAAGAGACTCCCAGAACGGATTCTTTTCATCTTGCGAGGCACCACTGTACGTATTGTCTTGTGTGGGAACCATGTAGTTGGAAATGATCTAACAGATCGTGTATCCAGCCTCCAGTAGTACCACAAATTATCTTCACCTTAAATTATCTTCAATAGATGCTCATCTAATCCTTACCATAGGGCTTTAAAAAAAAATTAAGCACAAACAAACAAAACTAAAAATATGCAAAGACTTTAAAGGCACAATTCTAGGATCAGTACAGATAACCACTCCTGCCAACCTAGCAGTTCGAAAGCATGTCAAAGTGCAAGTAGATAAATAGGTACCGCTCCGGCAGGAAGGTAAACGGCATTTCCGTGTGCTGCTCTGGTTCGCCAGAAGCGGCTTAGTCATGCTGGCCACATGACCCAGAAGCTGTACACCGGCTCCCTCGACCAGTAAAGCGAGATGAGCGCCACAACTGGACCTAATGGTCAGGGTTCCCTTTACAGATAACCACAATTGATACAGAGGTCATTAAGATACCCAAATTTCTCTCACTTATGCAAAAAGATGAGTTCTGAATCAGAACCAGAAGGATATGTAACGAAGTCCCACTATATGGCATTATAATATTCCGGGACTTTTGTGGCAGTGGAAACTTTTAAATTATGAGAGGGTTTTCTGAAATAGCTATTGTCTCTCTGTTCTTTTACAAGAGTGTGATGTGCAAGTCATTTAGGTCTTTCCATTTTTTTTAAGTTGAAATATGAGCTGCTGTCAGTAGCCAGGTTGCTAAATCCTTCAGGTATTGAGTACCCACATGCCCATTCCATAAATTCTGCAAAGCAAGTTCAGAAGACATTATAATATTGGTTTTACAGATTTTAGTCCTTTCCTTATAGCCATCAGACCTAAATTTAGAGACCTATGGACATTCCCACGATAAATATTAGAAGATTTAGGTGAGATTGATTGAAAAGCAGCATAGAAATATAATTATCAATTAATCATTCACATGAATCACAAAGCAGCTTACAAGCAATAAGTAACCAGTTATACCTTCAGAAATCCAGTCCTGCCTCCCTGGGGCATTTGAAGTCTTTTGTAGCTTCCTTAGGAAATTGCTGCAACTTGCAGTACCTATTACAATAGTTTGCACAAATAAGGCACATTAGAGACTTCAGGTGTTGTGCTGATTGTTCTGTTTCTGTAACTTGAAACTGATTGAGTTAGCACAACATCAGCGAGAGATCGTTGGAAAGTCTTAAATCAAAAAGACTTGGAGAACGGTGGTAAATTGCAGATTGAAATCAGAGTTTTCATCCTTGTGTAAAGCAGAGGAAAATTGGGTTTGTATAATTGAATGGCTTGGAGCCAGCATTATAGTAATGCTTCATGCTCAATATCCATATTACAAAATGCTAGCATAATGTGTTTGCGGGGCAGCAGAGACTCTACGTGCAGTTGAGTGCTGAGAAGAAAAAGCAAGATGATCAGTGTGATTAAATAAATAGCATTTGATATGTCAATTACAGTGGCTTTGCTTGTGGTTGCTACTTTACATCTTTTTTCCTGTATCTCTTGCGTCTTAGGTAGAAGCATTGCATTTCGTGGCGAACGAGGCAGTGATGAACCAGCCATTGAAATGATAAAGGTGTCTCACTTGAAGTAAGCAGATTGGCCAGGAAAAGTTTATGTGTTCCCCTGCATTGAATTGTGCTAGAATAATCCAGTACCTACAGTGCATTTCTTTCTGTAGGAGGAAGGCAGTTAAAGAAACGTTATTGAAATATTGAGCAAACAAATCCAAATGTACTGATGAAGAACTTGGTTGTGTGCCACTCAAATACATTAGGCTTTTCTTCAGTGCTATGCTTATGAACTAGGACAGGGAGTTATTGCTGTAATATTATACCAATCTTCCCACTTTTCCATTTCTCCCAGAAGCAGTTCAGACATTATTTCGAGTTGCTTCCTGCACTGGTAGCAAGCTAGTATCTCCTTTCAAGGGGGAAGATCTGAAACCAGGAAGATCAAGTATTTTCTAAAGACTGGAGTAAATTTGTAAACAGTTAAAGTCTTTGGCAGGGATGTAATGACACTTGTAATGCGGAATTATTTATGGTAATTATGGTTATATAATAGATGGGTAATGGTAGAAGATGCAGTAAATTTAAATATAAATATTGAACCCATGGAGGGAGGGAAGGAGATCTGAAGGTTCGAAAGAACCTTGTATTTTAATGTTTGAAATGGTTTTGTTTTATGTGTATAAAATTGTCAAAAACTCAATTAAAAAGTTATATATAGAGAAAAGTATCTCCTTTCAAGGTTGGAATTAAATATTACAGCCTATTCAATCACCCCCTGTCTCTTCCTCCTCTTTCCATTAAACATAGGCAATTTTTGGAAACGTTGACATCCTGAAAAATGTTTTGTTTTGTTTTTTAACCAAGCAGGGAGGGATCAACGCTTGTTGCAGCAACCATGCTTTGTGCAGCTCCCATTCAGTTCAATAGTACTTCTAGCTACTGGGAAATTCTCTTATGTATGTATAATGCTGTAAATAGCTTCTTTTTAAAATTTCAGACAGTATTTGGCAGTAGTATTTAAAGACAAACCTCTGGAATTATGGGATATCAGGACTTGTACTCTTCTCAGAGAAATGTCAAAGAACTTCCCTACAATTACTGCTTTGGTAAGGAATGAATTCAGTCAGCTTCTCATCAGATAACTAATTCTTACATACCTTCTTGCTTTCAGAATGGTGTCTGTCCACTAGTCTTAGAAACCTTTCACCCTAGGTGGTTGGAGTAGATGACTCTATAGGTTTCTCCCAACTCTACAATTCTGTGATTCTCCCAATGTAAACAGCCAGTAAGGAAATGGGACTTGACTTGCATATTGTTATCTTTCATAGCATTTTTAAAAATCACTCTCATGCATGTAACCGTGAATCTAATTTAGGGTTGGTAAATAATACCTTAAGATGTGAACAGTCATGACTTCTGTTCTTCCAGGAATGGTCGCCTTCTCACAACTTGAAGAGCTTAAGAAAAAAGCAGCTTGCAGCCCGCGAAGCTATGGCCCGGCAAACAGTGGTATCAGATACAGAACAGAGCAGTTTGGAGTCATCGGTGATCAGGTGTCAACACTATTCTCAGTGAAAAATCACACCAGCTTCTCCTTTGAGTATTTGTTTTCCTGCCAAGAATGCATTGCATTAGCACTGCATTTTGGATTTACAGACCTTTATTGATGTTGTAATTTAAATAGGCTGACCTTTAAGAATCTTTGTACAGTGAAAGTAACAGTAGGTGGCAAAGCATGTGTCAGAATCTGATGCCCTGCATTACTGTAGCATGTAAAGTGAAGCCCTGTATATGTGAGAGACATTATATGAATAGATCAGCTTCACTTTAATTTGTTGGTTTAATCATGGGCCTCTAGACCATGCCCTGGAACTAGGGACCAGAAACCGAAGGCGGTTGTTTCTTGCCTCCTTTAAGCTAATTGTGTTTGATGCTTTATGTTGCTTTCATTAATAGACTACTTAGGGTGGAATTCAACATTGCCCTAAGTTGATAATTCTGTCTGGCAAACAGAAGTGCGTGCGCTGATTGAACTATTTCCTCTCCCCCAAATTCACTGTTTTGGGGGTTCACTTGACCTTCCAGAGCAATATTTGGGGATGGCATGCAAGCAAGGGGAGGGGGGCAAGGTCCTGTTGCACTACTAGGACTTCTTGTGCTGGATTCTGTTTGTGCTGCTTATAATTGCAATGTTTGAATTAAGATACAGCTTTTTTCTAATTACATAATACATATACGTACAGTATGTGTTCATTTAATAGTGTAAGTGTAATTTGAGTGAATCTGATCGTTTTGAAAATAAAAATCAGCAGTTGGCTTCTCTTTCAAAGCTTATTGCAGGAAGCTGAGAGTAAATCGGAGCTGAGCCAGAACATTTCTGCTCGGGAACACTTCGTGTTTACAGATACTGATGGACAAGTTTATCATTTGACAGTAGAAGGGAATTCTGTCAAAGACAGTGCAAGAATTCCTCCTGATGTAAGTTCAGTGCTATATTTCTAACTTTTTATTCCTTTTATAGATTTTTACAAAACAGCTTCCAACAACATGCAACAAAAAGTACCAATTCTTTTTTCCCCTTTCTTTTTTTAAATAGTAAATTTTATTAGTATTTTCCACACAACAAAAAACGAAAAATGAAAAATAACAATACACAAAAACATACATATGAAAAACAAATCCAAATCTTACAAATCGATAGTATAAACACTAAAAAAGAAAACAAACATTGACTTCCACCAATCCCACAGCACCTCCTTTACCTCTCTTCCTGTTTTCCTTATCATCTCGATCCTAGCATCTAAATATATATCCCTCTTTCTTATCCTTTCACTTCACAAGTTTATTCCAGACTCAGCCAGACTTCTGTCTTCGAACCTTGTCTTTTAAGGTATTCATTTAGGCACTCCCATTCCTTTTTCACAACACTTTTTGGTTTTTGTCTTATTATATCTGTCAGTTTGGCTAACTCTAAGTATTCTGAAAGCTTACATAACCATGCTCCCCTAGTGGGTAACTGATTCCCTTTCCAATACTTAGCCACCAGAATTCTTGCTGCAGACGTTGCGTATAAGAAAAATTTAGTTTTATCTTTTGGGACATCGTCGTTTAATATTCATAAAAGGAATGCCTCTGGCCTTTTACTGTATGATATTCTTAGTATTTTCTTTATTTCTTCATGGATCATGCTTCAAAATTTCCCAATTTTAGAACTAAGGGTCATGCTTAGTATCACCGGAAAGAACACTGAAGAATATAACAACTATTCTTGAGGCAAACATTGTTAGTTTGACCCAACGACTCCAGTAGCCGTGTAATGACTCTGGTATGCACGAGGAACTCCATGCCAGTAGGATTTGGAATCTATTACCTCTGGCAGCAGAACTAAGAATACAAAATCTTCTGCTATGCTGTCCCAGTGTCTCCAGTAGGATTACTTGTTAAAAACACTTCAGAATCTGCTTTCTTCCTTTGCCTTCAGATTAGTAGCATGCCTAAACATACACTCTTTAAGTCATAGTTATGCATATGAAATGCTGACCTCCTGTGGCCACATAAACAACTTTTCATTGCTGAAATGTTCTAAATTATAGCCCTTGGCTACGTCCCTGAAGCTACTCACATTTGACAAATTCCATCAACCTTTACCATCTCTACATGATTTGCAGCTTCACTGTCAGTTCTTAAATATTTTCAAACAGAATATTTATTTTTCTGGTTCTTTGCTTTCAAATCCAAGTAACAAAAGGAGCTTCTAAATTAACCCCAGAGGCTAGTTTCCTGCCTTACTGCCCATTTATTATTTGACCACTAAACAATTGTAAATCTGACATCAAGAACCCCATTTGTCTTCTAAAGTGCCTGGATTTTTCTAAGCAAGACATGAAGTCATCCTTGCAGTAGCACACCATGTGTAATTTTGCCTCCAGGCGTTTGTAGGCTAAATGATTGTTTGGCTTCCAAATGCCATCATGTCACAGTAAAACTGATCCCCCTCTTTCAGGGGAGATGAATCGTGCCACAAAAGAGGACATTCTTGGCCCAGCTCAACATTTCACTCTGAAAGTCTTCATTTGTTCTTTTTCATTGCTTTAAAGCTTTACAAATCTTTTAGAGATGCTTTTCTCATGCCTCCTTTATATAGGTCAGCAATCAAGATATTTTAAAAATCCTTCTGTTCAAACTGTCAGGGTGTCTGTTTTCAGATAATGTGACAGCTATCACAAAGAGTGAGCTGCTGTTATAAATCCAGCCTCCGATGGCTTTAGAAATATGTCAGATTATGGACTGGGGAGATGAAGAATAATAATGGCAAAAGTCCTGTATTTTGTGGGGTTTTTTCTTTGGGGTTTAGTAGAAAATTATCTGTTACAAATACAGATGTAATATATAAATGTCGAAGCTACTTCAACAACCTTTTATGTGAATGTCATTGGTAAAGGGAGGGGGTTATTCAAGTGATAAATAACCTAGTTTACATTCTGTATGGATAATGGTTTGTGTCTGTGCAGAGGCATACATATAATTAGAGAGCATACATGTTCTGCTATTTTCAAATCACTTAACATCAGTGGATTCTTAAGTGCATTTACTTGATTGTGTGTAGATACGTCTTCATTTTTGTATTATGTGCAGTATAGTGCTAAACAAATAAATAAATTGGGGTTCACGAGTAGTTTAAGGGTCAGAACCTGGCTCTCTGTTTTTCATCTCCGAGCTACATTATAAAATAGTTCATCTAAGCAAGTAGCTTTGTCAGGGAGGACCTTTTATTCAGTTATAGGATTAAAAGAAAAGGTAACTGAGGTTGACTGCATATTCGACCTTGGCTTCTCTCTTCCCTAAAGCAAACATACAGTTGCTACCCATTGATCCTTTTATTGACATTTGTGCTTTAGCATTTGAAAGCTTTCATTTTCAAACCAAGGAGGAAAAGAACCACAACTCTACAGTGTAGCACATATATTCCCGAGCTTTCAAAATACAATATTAAAAAAATAAGATTCTGGCCTCAAAACTATATTAATGTTGTTTTTAGTGGCCTCTCTTGTATCAACAATGGAAGAATTTGACTTACTCTTTTTTGGTATGAGGTCAAAATACTCTGCATGAGTTGGCACAACATCACAAAGTCTAGAAATTAACCACATAGTTGATAATAAAAAGCAAGTACAAGTTTGCATATTATGGCTTAGATCCTAAAGCAAATTTGTTTAAGAAAGTTCACAGAAGAAAAGTTTTCCATCCCTTGCAGCCACCTGCATGCTACTCCCACAAGCCTCTTCAGACAGTTGTGCAACCCTTACGATCAATGTGAGTGGAGTTCGGGGCAGTTTGGAATGATTCCCACATCCCCCAGCATCCATGCTGGATTTCACAATGATCAGAAGAGCCTTCTCACCCTCCGAAGAGGCTTTGCAACAGAGAGCAGGAAGAGTCTGCAGAAGAGACTTTCCTTCCATGAACTTTCTTAAGCTCACTTAATTTGGAATGCAAGCCCGGTTTAACTGTTTTACAAATGATTGATTGGTTTATACTGCCACTTATGCCTATTTTGTGTAGTTTCTGTTTCACAGCTTTAATCTCTGCTTTTTAAAACTTTGCAGGGAAGCATGGGCAGCATAACATGCATCGCGTGGAAAGGAGATATCTTGGTCCTGGGAGATGTTGATGGAAATTTGAACTTTTGGGACTTAAAAGCCAGAGTATCCAGGTAGTGATCTGTTAAACAACAACTACAAAACAAACCCCTCCAATGAAGCCTAATTCGCACATGACTCAAGTGATTGCCCCCCAAAAAGTCAGAGATTGAGGTGTGGAAAGTCATTTTCTGTGAATCAATAATCCCGTCATGAGAAGCTGCCCAGGAAAGCTCCTCTACACATATACCTCCAGAATCTTCCTGACATTTCTAGAAAATGCCCAAACCACATGGGTTATGTTTCACAAAAATGGCTAACCATGCACACACGTAGGAGTTCAGTGCTGTATTTACTTTTGCTGGCAACTACTCTACCAAGTAATAGAGAAAGTGGATCTAATTCATAGCATGTGTTTGAAATAAGTCTAAATTTTGCCACAAAACCAGGTCAGACCCAAGTTGTCTATGAGCACACTAGCCGTACAGCTTTCTTTTTACAAAATACGGGTCCAGAAGGATTGCCACACAAATACTGGGATTGTGTACGTAATAAGCTGACATGATGCTGTTGCTATAGTGATGCTTCCTGAGGCGGTTTTGGGGTGGCACAACCAGTGTGGCAGCACAGGGTGTGGGCTGCAGGGACCCCCGCAACAATACTGCAGAACGGAACGAGAGAGGTTGTGGGGGGGGATGCGCCAAATTTTAGCATCACCCACGGTGCTGCTGAAATTTAAGAGCCCAAAGCCCACCACTGATGCTTCACTCGTTTGCTATGTATTTAATCAAAATAAGAGTAATTGTAGAGGGGCGAAGTGGTGGTTTAGATGACAAGTTCTCCTTATGATTCCATTTAGATGGAATACTTCCATTTAGATGGTCTCTGAAGTTTAGTTCTTCAGTCTGTCCTTAAGGTAAACTCAAGGGGGAAATGTACTATTTGTGTCCTACCTTTTCCTTTCCAGAGGCATCCCCACACACCGCGGCTGGGTGAGGAAGATACGCTTCGCCCCTGGAAAAGGAAACCAAAAGCTAATAGCAATGTACAATGATGGAGCTGAAGTTTGGGACACAAAGGAGGTCAGTACCAATTTTGCTTTACTTGTCTGAATTGGTTCTAAACTGCAAGCTTAAAATGATGCTTACTGGTGTCACAAAGGAGATTTAATTTTTCTTGGTTCTTTCAAACTGCTACCAGCTGCTTAGTTGGTTTTGCCTAGATTTTTCAGCCATTAAAGTGTTGCTAAACTAATTGGGTGAAATCCAACATCAGTCATACTCTAAGCAGAGCCACTGAAATCAATGGACTTGGGTAATTGTTTTATTGTGTTTATTATTTATCACAGATGCATTTGCTGCCCTGGGCTCCTTTGTGAAAAAGTGTGGGATATATATTTACTTGAATAAATCAGTCCATCAATTTCAGTGTATTTAATTTGTCTGATTTTCAGACCAAAGGTTCTTGGAAGTTAAATACATTCCACGTAGAAATACAAACAAGCATGACAACAACCGTTATTGAATGATGGCTTGTCCTTGTTTTTTCAATACTAGAGTTTTGCTTAACAGGCATTGTGCCCTGATCAGACACATCACTACCATCTTGACTAGATTTAATTGAATAGAGAAGCTTCAAATTCAACCACAAGGGTGGAAGGGAGAACCAAGTATTACTAATTACAGTTGAATGTATGTGTGGTGTTAAATTTAATTTTTTTAGATGTTTATAAAACAAAAGGAACCCAGAAATATTTGCAGTAAGGACTGACAGTAGTAAAGTGGAAAATATTTAAAGCACTTATGAAATATTCACATTTTGTAGACTGTCACAGTAATGCTGCCACATATTAGCTGCTAGGCTTTTACATTTTAATTTTTGTTTTATATAATTGACTCTAAAGGACAGCCTTTCTCCCTTGCCTGATTAAATTACTGAGAATCATGGAAACAAAACATAATTTCACTGTGTCTGTACATGGAAAGGGAGACCACTTCGTCTTCTAAAGCTAAAATATGTTGCATTTTTTTCAGGTACAGATGGTGAACAGCTTAAGAACTGGAAGAAATGTCAATTTTAGAGTACTTGATGTTGACTGGTGTACCTCTGACAAAGTGATCTTGGCATCAGATGATGGCTGCATCAGAGTGCTAGAGATGACAATGAAATCAGCATGTTTTAGAATGGATGAGCAAGAATTAACAGGTATGGAGAAAGGCCAAGCAAATGCAGCCCAATGCTTTATTAGATTGCATTCATTTGGCACATGAAGTGATCGACAGAGGAGTGTTCCCTGTTCAAATAGCCAGAGGATGAGATAGATGCATATATTTTTTTACCAGGATTATGGAGTCAGAAGAACTGAAATGTTCTTGACTTCAGGCAGGAAGCTACCACTAGCAGTTTTCCTGCCAGTGGTAGCGGCAAAGGCTCTAAAACTGAGTGTTCACAATAATATTAATGTTACAATATATCTGCCTTAAATGATTACTGTACTTTATAACAGCACTTCAGAATGAAATGAAGAATGTTTCTTTGTTGACTATGTATTCTACCTTTTAAAATTATTATTAAAAAATAATTGGCCCATTCTGAGGTCCTTTCTCTGGTTTACTATCGAAAAGGCCAGAATCCCGCCAGCGTGTGCTTTGAAATCTATCTGATTTACTTGTTTAGACATTGCACTGTACAAGAGTTTAATCATTGTACTTTGGCAATCACCGTATTTTTCGTCCTATAGGGCGCACCGGCCCATAGGACGCACCTCGGTTTTTTGGGGGGGGGAATGAATAAAAAAAAAATTATTTCCCCCCCCAGCCGCGGCTGCCGCCCCAAGCCTTGCGGACACCCGCCCAAAGCACGGGGAGCGCTCCAGAGGGCTCCCCGTGCTTCGGGCTGCAGGCTGCCGCCCCAAGCCTCGCGTGCCCAGCGGGACCTCCCGCCGGGTGCGCAAGGCTTGCAGACACCCGCCCGAAACACGGGGAGCCCTCCGGAGGGCTCCCCATGCTTCGGGCTGCAGGCTGCCTCCCCAAGCCTCGCGCGCCCGGCGGGACCTCCTGCCGGGCGCGCAAGGCTTGCGGATACCCATCCAATGCACGGGGAACCCTCCAAATGTGTATGCAAGTTCCATGTTTAAAATAAATTGCCATCTTCTATTCAGCAGATTCAAGAGGTATTTCAGTCCATATTTTTTGAAAAATTATACTTCTTGAGTATGTGTTGGAGTACATCAGTAATTCTCTTTGCAGTGTAAAATAATGATGCTTCCTGCTCCCTGCTATTTTATTAATCTGCCAGTGCGATTTTTAATAATAATAATATCTATTACTATTCACGGTCTTGCATTTTGAGTCAGATTTAGATTTTCTGTTGTATATTTACTATCAGATATCCCCTGGAAACACAGACAATTCTGTGACATAGCTTGTGCTGTTTTTCCCCTCTGTGCTCCTGCCTTTTCATGAGCCACTTTATAATTCCTCTAGTGCTATCTAACTATAAGTATCCACTTGGTTGTTTTTTTTATCATCACTGCTCAGATCTTTATTTAAATTGTGGTTAATGCCCTAGAACCAGAGCAGCAGAACTATATGATTCCAAGGAAAAATTACACTTTGGAGCTCTTATGTACTACTGAGAAATAATCTGCCTAAAATCTGTGCTGGACTTTCTTAAGCCATGCCCCTAAACTATGCATTTACTTCTTTAACAAAAATTTGATGGAGGAGATCCAAACCAGTTACCTTTTCAGATCAGTTTTTGAAACCCAGACTGCAGTATGCCTGCAAGCCAAATATTTCCGGTGAAGCTAAGCACTGACAACCGCGAACAAAAGAGAAAACCAGTCTCCTAACCCTTGGTCATGATTCCCAGGGTATGCACTCAAAATCACACCCGTCCATATTACGGTCTGTGCAATCGCAACAATTCTATTGACTGCAGTTCTTTCTGGAACACTGTAATGAAAACAAGCCTTCTCATACTCCATTGCAGATGCACTGTAAGCAAACACAGATCCCAAGTTCTTTAATATCAGATTGACTAACAACAGATTTTCTTTCTTTTTTCTCCCTTTTTTTGGTTCTAGAACCTGTGTGGTGCCCATATCTACTTGTTCCAAGAGCTTCCTTAGCATTGAAAGCATTTTTGCTACACCAACCGTGGAACAATAAATACTCTCTTGATATTTCACATATGTAAGTCTAATATATATTATTATATTGAAACGCCTGCTTTTTATAAAATGGCAACGTGCCCACTAACTGTTTAGGGGTATGTGGGTGGGTAATAAAACCCAACTATTTTCCATTTAAATACTTGAATTTTACCCATCTAGAAGTGATAGTTAATCATCATTTTACTGTATCCATCCATGGGCAAAGTATATTCTCTCCTGTTCATGCAGTCCTGACTTGAAATGTAGAAAAGTGCCCAGAGTGACTCTGGGACATCTTGTCAGCATCTAAACACTGATCCAGACCTGAGAGAAACCCACTTATTTCAACTTCGATTGCTCTTGATTATTTTTGATTTGATTATTTAATTTCTATACCGCTTAATATATTTTAATATATCTAAGTAGTATACAAAACACTGAAGAAACAACAGACAACTTAAACAAAATATTACAAAAATCCATGGTTCCATATAAACATGTTACATTAATACAAAGTAGTATATATAAATCAATATCAATTCATTTTCCTTCTGACACACCCTCCCTCTGCGTTCTCACCCAGCATCCAAACAAACTTGGTGCATACAGAAAAGTTTCACAACGAGAGGAGTTCCTAGAAACAGCAGACAGCACTCTAGTTTCTCACTCTAGACTTGCTTTTCCCCCCCTTTGGCTCTTCTGAACTCTGAGCACAGCCATGCTCTTCATCAGATTGGGATGTTTCATCTGAGACTCTAGATATTTGTCTATTAAATCAAATGTTTGCTTTGCAGAAATTATCCAGAGAATGAAAACGTTAAAAATCTGCTACAGGAACAGTTGCACTCACTGTCAAAGTAAGCATATTTCAGTTTGTGTTATGCTACTAAAATGCATTAACATTGTTTTCTTTTGAGTTCTCCTCTGTTTATCCCCAATATGAATCTTGAGAGATATTAATGTGGCAGTAATCTTTAAGTTCATATTTCTTATCAGATCTAGTCACACTGTTAACTTCAAACCTATATAGACTGAAATCCTATACATGCTAGCCTCAGAATAACTACCATTCAATTTAATGGAGTTTCTTCTGAGTAGTGTGTAAGACTGCATGGCAGACAAGGAAGCTTTTAGAACAGTTTTATATTTTTACTTCTTTGTTAGTACCGCTACTGGCAGTCATATTGATCTGGAAGCCAAATTAATGTTAGGGATTAACAAAATAGTTTAGTGTGATGCAGAATCCGTGCTGGCACATACTACATGTACTTAAATACAGTTTTAATCCATGACTCAGCTTTATCATGTCCAAAATTTGCCATACGTTTCAAGCTTACTTTTCCTTTAAAAATCCACAGCATCCCCTTAATAATAAATGTTTCAGCAAAATACTGGAGGGGCTATGGGAACATATTTTCATATATGCCAAGAATATAGTACCATTAATGGGTTCTGGAGGCAAACCATTGATGAAATTATGCCCTAGAATTTTGTACTTGTTGCTAAATCAGCAATGTAATGTCTTTTTAGACAGCCATCTTTTTGTCTTGCTAGCAGCAATACTAGAAATAGCATACCAGCAGGAGAATCTCATTGGGATTCTAGTGCAGTAAAACACTGATATTGACAAGCATACAAAACAGCTCCATGCTTCTAATTGAATGGCTATGAATCACCAATTAAAGAGTACAAATTATCTGATTTGTAAATGAGTCATTGGTTGAATGGTTTTGTAAAAGATGGATGTCATTTTGTATAAATAACTTAAATCCTGTAATAGTGATATACTGACTCTATATGAACACAGGAAGCTGCCTTATACAGAGTCAGACTATACAGAGTCAGACTATCTGTCCCCCTAGTTCCATATTGTCTACACTGACTGGCAGTAGCTCTCCAGGATTTCAAACAGGAGTTTTTTCCAATCCTACCTAGAGATGCCAGGGATTGAACCTGGGACTTTTTGCATACAAAGCTCCCTGTCAAGTTTCAGTGGTTATAATTTGTATGTTAACCTTTTTATAAAAATGTGTGGAAAATGGTTTCCTTTTAAGTAAAAACAACAACCACCTGCAGTATCTAGGTTGATGCACATAATGTGTCTGAATGTGTTTCATAGCAAGATACAAAACTATAAACTATAAATTATCTTTTCTTAGTGACATCAGGAAACTTTTGCTCGATCCAGAGTTCACCCTCTTGCAGCGATGTCTATTGGTTTCAAGGTAACAGAGAACTTAAGTCAAACGCATAATCCCTGTTTTGCAGTAATTTGTCTGTAGTCCTTAGCCTGGTGATCGGTATTTTTGTTTAAAACCAATAGGGCTATTAGAGCATGCTTTCTGTAACAGAATCAGCATCCCTGTATAAATGATAGGTGCAAAGGGGTATGTTACTAATAAAAAAAATCATTTGAAGTTCTGTATTTGATGGTGTTATCTATAAAGTTGTGTACAGTAAAAGCCTTTCAGTCTTTAACTACCTGTCAAATCACATTTAATCCTTTTTGTGCGACTGCATATATTTACTTGTGCAAGATACATCGTCTGGAAAGCATACATCAATTGGGACTTGCCATGTCAGAATGCTGGTATGAGATTGTGTGGCTGAATGTTCTTGCCTGTAGAAAACCAGCATGTTAATTTAATTTTCTGTACATGTGGGGAAATAGTAGAAAGGACCATCTGCAGTAGCCAAAGGAGGCTTGCCCATTCAAGCTAATAGGGCACTGCTCCACCTGCCCACCTTCCTATATACAACCAGTCCAGGGAGAATCACTGCATGGTGTTGTCCTTCTGGAACTCAGCAGGGAGGAAGTTGGAGGCAAGTAGAATTAGTTGGCTCCACCTGTCATTGGTTCTGGCTCTACTTACTGATAGACTCACTGTCTTCTGCCCTACTAGCTCCAGCGGTCACCAGCCACCAGTGGTAGCATCATAATCCCAAGTGGGCTATATTGCTGCTCTTTGTCATTACATAGCAATAAGCATAAGAAGAGCACTGCTAGATCAGACCAAAGTTATATCCAGTCCATCATCCTGTTCTCACAGTGGCCAATTAGATGCCTATGGGAAGTCCACAAGCAGGACATGAGTGCAAAAGTACCCTCCCCACTTCAGATCCCTAGCAGTTGGTATTTAGAGGCATAATCCCTTCGATACTGACTACAGCTATCCTGATTAGAAGACACTGATAGTCATATTTTCCCTGAATTTGCCTAATCTCTTTTTAAAGCTGTCCAAGTTAGTGGTCATTGCTTCTATGATATGCAGTAAATTTTACAGCTTGGATATGCACTGTGTGATGAAGTGCAACCTTTTGTTTGTCCTGAATCTTCCAACATTCAGTTTCATTGTATGAGCCTTGGATAGGAAGGAAAACCTCTGTCTGCTTCTCTATACCATGATTTATTTTGTACATCTTTTACATGTTATTTATCATTCTCAACTAAAAATTGCCACCGTTGTAACGTTTCCTCATGGGGAAGATTGTACAGTGCAGAACCATGTGGTGTAGCGGTTAAAGTATTGGACTAGTATCTGGGAGACCAGGTTTCAAATCCCCATTCAAGCCATGAAGCTCACCTTGGAGCAGTCATCACTCTCAGCCTAACCTACCTCCCAAGGCTGTGAGGATAAAATGGAGAGAAGTATGTACTCCGCCTTGAGTTACTTGGAGGAAAATGGGTTATATAGATGATAAATAAATTGCCTATTTTCTGCATTACTTCTTTGTGTTGCTGATGGTGAATTTAATGGCAGCTGTTTTATTTTGCCAGGCTGTATGGAGATGAATCTGAACTGCATTTCTGGACTGCTGCTGCCCATTATTTGCATACTTTTTCCCGAGGGAAACCATTAACTGTAAAAGCTGAAGACACACTGATTCCTCAAGGAAAATGGATCAGTCCACTAGATATATGTTATGATATACTGTGTGAAAATTCCTATTTCCAGGTATTGCAAGATTCTAAGTCAGATCTTTTTGACATAAAGGCTTTTCTCCTTTTCAGAGCTTTTATATTTAAGAGCATGTCTAATTGTTTTTGTTATTCGTGCACTAAAATATTTAATTATGTGTTTTTTAAAAAGCAATTATACTGCTTGGTTATAATAAAATCTCTAAGTGGTTTACAAGGAATGTAAATAGATGTACAGCACGGTTCAATGTTTGTTGAATTTAGAGAACATTGGTCACTGATCACAGTAGAAATAGTATTTATTTTTTATTTTGCATTTATAGCTACATTGCCCCATACATAGCCTGTGGCCTGATTTATACCAATTCTGCTCTAAAGACTAGGTGAATTACTATCAAGAGGTTCACTGGTCTTGATTGTGAATTTGAGGAGCTTTCAGAAACAGTGGAGTTAACTCAAATATTCCTGTCTCCTATTGTACAAATGGGCTAAAGTTCCAATAACTTAACTTCAATGTCAGGCAAACCCACAGCCTATTGTCAATTATAGACCCAAAGTGATGCAACCTAAATACCTGGATTCATTAGTGGTGTAGTCTCATATGTCTTGTTTTCTGAAAAATCATTCTCAGTTTCTTAATCACTTGATTATTTGCAGAAATTCCAGCTTGAAAGGGTCAATCTCCAAGAAGTTAAGAGATCAAATTACGACCACACCAAAAAATGCACTGACCAGCTGCTGCTTTTGGGCCAGGTTTGTGGCACCTAGTTTAGCCTTTCTACAGTTGTTCAGTTTATTAGCAGGCTAGGAATAAATGAGTGAAACATTGACATTAGGCATTGCTACAATGTAGTTTTTGTTTTCTTAAAAAAAAAAGTTCTCATACTTGTGTGGTGGGTTAGGTATTTCTGAATGTAAAAGAACCATTGAAAGCTGCATAATGTTTTGTTTTTCCTCTTTCCTAGACTGACAGAGCTGTGCAGTTGCTTCTGGAGACAAGTGCCGAGAATCCCTATTACTACTGTGATTCCTTAAAGGCATGTCTGGTCACAACAGTCACTTCCTCAGGTCCTTCCCAAAGTACTATTAAATTGGTAGCGACCAACATGATTGCAAATGGAAAGCTGGCAGGTGAACTGTTCGTTCTGTTTCTTGAGCCCAAAATAATTCCTGAACTGACTTAGGGGTCATGGGGGGAGAGGAGAAGGAGGGCAAGTTCCTTTGTGTAGCCAAAAGCAGCACTTAGTTGGATACCACTCCCAGTTTTGAGTGCCGCTAGACACTTGCAAAATTGCCTGCACCATATTTAGCTAGGATAAAGTTCAGCTGATTTTATTCTGTGCAGGGACTGCCTTCATAGATAAAAACAGACGTATCTATACTTTTTTGTGCTAATGAAGCATTAAAAGAAGGGGGATAATAGAGTTAGGAAATCAGCCCTGAGTGCTTACTGGAAGGACAGATCCTGAAGCTGAGCCTCCAATACTTTGGCCACCTCATGAGAAGAGAAGACTCCCTAAAAAGATCCTGATGTTCAGAAAGATTGAGGGCACAAGGATAAGGGGACAACAGGGGATGAGATGGTTGGACAGTGTTCTTGAAGCTACCAGCATGAGTTTGACCAAACTGCGGGAGGCAGTGGAAGACAGGAGTGCCTGGCGTGTTCTGGTCCATGGGGTCACAAAGAGTCGGGCACGACTAAACAACAACAATAGAGTTAGGTGCAAACACGGCACTGCAACTAAATGGTTTCTTTGAGCTCTTAGAAAGTTTACTTGGGCTCTTTTAAGTGTCTTTCTACAGGATAGAAGTAAATGTTTGTAAGTAATGGAATTTGGGTCAGAGGATAATTGGGCTGCTTGCACTCTCTAGGTAGAAATACTCACAATCTCTTTGAAATTCTCCATGTTTTTAAATTGTGTTTTGTTAAGCTCAGACAACTTCTTTTTCAGAGGGGGTCCAGTTACTGTGTTTAATAGATAAAGCTGCTGATGCCTGTCGTTACCTGCAGACCTACGGTGAATGGAATCGAGCAGCATGGCTTGCAAAAGTAGGCCGTTTTTCCTCAGTCTATCCTGTATGAGTTGCTCCTTGCTAATAAATGTTAAAGCTGGCACACTCTTAGTTCACTCAGAGGAATGTGAGGGATTGTCAGCTTCAGTGTTTTTAACTCTTGGAGGAGGTAAATTTCACGCATGCACATTTTGAGGACAGCCTGTTCAGGAAACATCACACTTAAGATTGTTCAGGTTTAACGATACACATCAAAGAGAGTATTGCAGACTTCTGAATAGAAGCAACCAACATTGGGATGGCGGGGGGAGGCTGTTAGCCAATTCCAAGGGAGAAGAGTTGTTTAACCAGAATCATTGCCTTTGGAATTGAGCTGCCTATGACAGCTGACGAGTTGTTTTCCCTCATAATACTGCCAGGTAAGTCTTGCCCATGTCTCCTGATTGGAAACTCATAGATCTCCAGAATTTATTTTTATTTTTATTTTTATTAAAATGCAGTTCAGGCCCAGCTTTTACTTCCAGGTTCTTACTTTTGCCTCCCCAGCTGGTCTTCCTTCACAGTCTCCTTCTGACCTTATGTTACTCTTTGCCTCCAGTTCCTATGGTCTCTCAAGCTCCCTTGTGTTCTTTATTGTGGTCAGACATTTCCCTGACCTTGCCTCTTGTGATTATGTTATTGTTGCTTTCTGCTAGTCCACTTCCTATGCTTAACTGGAAGCCTCTTGCTTTTGGGGAAATACGTTTCCACTCAAGGCTCTTGGCAGGACCTGACCTTGGAATTTGTGGTGGGAACACTGGTGCTTTCTGCAGGATGTTCACAAAAACAGTTGTGTGAATACAAATCTATAAAAATTCTCCCCACCCCCAAATGTTGTTTACCAAAAACCTTTTTAAAAGCTTCCACCCAAAGGAGAGGCAATATAACTGGTATGCAGTATTATGTATAGTTTTGTACCTGTTGTGCTGTTTCTTGGCTTCTAAGATTGCTTCAAATATTTCTAATCTGTCGCAGGTTCGTCTGAATCCAGAGGAGTGTGCTGATGTGTTCAAGCGTTGGGTCGATCACCTTTGTTCTCCACAAATCAATCAGAAATCCAAGGCCATCCTTGTCCTCCTTTCCCTGGGTTGCTTCATGAGAGTTGCAGAGATGTTGCACAGGTCAAATGAGGCGTTTTTTCTTTGCTTTGTTTATTTGAAAATTTACTAGGCATTCCTCAATAGATGTATATACTCGGCGGCATACATAAAAATACTGTTGTTACAATTTTTGAGGTCAACAACAGGACCATATATACAAACAGAGGAAAACCAAAAGTAGAAAAGACACACATTCAGTTGAGAATTAAAACAGCAATTATACCTAAAAGTCATATCTGAATAAGTTCAAATGCATGTGTTTTCTCTGAGAGAGAGCATCTTAATTTTTCAGTAAGTACCATATTTTTCGCTCTATAGGACGCATCCGACCATAGGACGCACCTTGTTTTAGGGGGGAGAACAAGAAAAAAAAATCTCCCCCTCTCTGCGCAGCGCACCTTCAGTGAAGCGGCAGGAGAAACGGAGCCCCTTCCATTTCTCCTCCCGCTTCGCTGAAGGGGTGCTGCGCAGCTCTCCCTCTCCCACATTGCCTTTGCCTGCAGTGAAGGCAGCCCGAAGCCTCCAGAGCGCAGCGGGAGTTCCCGCTGCGCTCCGGAGGCTTCGGGTTCCTTTCGCTGAAGCCAGGAGAGCAGGACTCTCCTGGCTTCGGTGAAAGGCGCAGCCTTCTCGCTGCTCCCCAAGCTTGTGGGGCTGGCGGTGGGGGAAGCCTGGGTTCTCCCCCAGCCCCAGGGACCACACATTTGCTCCATAAGACACACAGACATTTCCCCTTAGATTTTAAGAGGAAAAAAGTGCGTCTTATGGAGCAAAAAATACGGTAATCTGGTTGGGCTCCAATCCTGTACCCAGTTACCTGGGTGTGAGCTTCATTAAACTTCAGTAGACATTTATTGTATTGTGCTGCTGTTTGTGTTTTAGTCCGTTACAGCAAACACATTAAGTGTCCTTTTGTAGCCAGATACATTGTGGTATAAGCATTCATGGATTAGCTCACTTGAAGTGTCATTTTCAGTTGGTAGGTAATACAGTGGTGCCTCAGGTTAAGTACTTAATTCGTTCCAGAGGTCCATTCTTAACCTGAAACTGTTCTTAACCTGAAGCACCACTTTAGCTAATGGGGCCCCCTGCTGCCACCACGCCACTGGAGCATGATTTCTGTTCTCATCCTGAAGCAAAGTTCTTAACCCAAGGTACTATTTCTGGGTTAGCGGAGTCTGTAACCTGAAGCGTATGTAACCCAAGGTACCACTGTATAGAAGTGTGCGAGCACAGTTGCACACAAACATAACATGTAAGAGAACAATATAAACGCTGGGCAGAGGTCTATGGAATACAAGCATTTTCATGGACTAGAGTCCACTCCATCAAATGCTATGGGGAATCTTTATCTGGCAGATAGATACATGCACGCAAGAGACATAATTTCACGCAGTGGGCCTCAAAAGCTACAAAATGAGTAAACTACTATTTGTATCTCCTTGTTAATGTGTTTGAACTGTTACATTTCTTTAGTCAGTAGAGGCTAGAAAATAGTACTTTTACTTTTAGTGGCGCAAATGCACGTGCTATATAAATTCTTGCTCAGAATTGGGGACCTGAGCCTGTGACCCTTTCCAGGTTTTGCGTTAGAGGCATTCCTGAGTACAGTCGCAAGCCTCTCAACATACTCTCATAGTGACAGAGAATGTTGTAAGCTGCCTTGCCCTTAAGAATAAAAACCATCTATTCTCTTTTAACAGCATGAGGTATTTTGACAGGGCAGCCTTGTTTGTTGAAGCTTGTCTCAACTATGGCACAATTGAAGTCAACGAAGATGCAAATATCCTTTTTATCCAGCGACTGAATACAAGAAGTCTCTTAAATAGGATTGCTTTGGGGGTTCTGTACTGTGTAATGTGTGTTTCAACTGAATTACTCATTTTGAGAGAAGAAAAAAATATTCATTGTTGAGGGAAGGGATAACATTTCCCCCAAAATGATATGGATCATCCAGGTGATTATAAGCAGAGAGTTCAGTGAAAAATAGCACAAGTAGTATTGGGCATTTTCATGTTCAAGAGCCAAGTATTCCTCTCAGATAGTGCTAGCTTATTTAATTTAATTTAAATTAATTTGCATCGCTTTCTAGAGTCATTATGACTCTGTTTTGTGGGGGATGGGAGAGAAGAGGTCTGGTAGCTGGTTGTCTGTTTACTCACTTCACTCTGTGCATTCCTTAACCCACACTTTACAAAAACTCATCCATGCGATATTTGCAGACTATGCCAGAAGCCTGAAGACTCTGGGGTTTAAACAGGCTGCTACTTTATTTGCCTCAAAAGCAGGACCAGCTGGTAAAGATCTATTGAATGAACTTGAACAGCTGAAAGAAGAAGAATGACAGCTCTTAAGCGAACCACTAAAAACTGAGATTTCCCATCAGATGTAATCATCAGTGAAGTAACTCTTTTAAAAGACAATGAAGGGGGCTTCTTGGTCACAGTAGAAATTGGAAATGCTGAATGTCATGTGTGGGCAGAATTTTCTCCTAATTTGTAGAGATAATGAGTTAAGGAAAATGTCTGCATTTCTCTTAAACCAAAATTTAAGTGCCCATAAGAGCTTTTAGCTACTTAAGGTAAAGAAATGATTCATCTTCTGGTGTCTTTGAATGAAAAGTACAGAGCCAGAAGTTCCAACATTTTGCAACCCCCAAGCACCCATGTCACATGATCTGACATTTCCAGCAGAGTCTCTTACAATGATGCAGATGATATTGGGACTCAGTCCTGCACTCTAGCATTCTCTGTGGCTTTGTGAAAAGGAACATACATTTCAGTTTGTACACTGCTTCACTTGTTCTGCTAAATATATCACTGCTCCATGCAACATCTAAGCATCTTGCTCACTTGATACTGGAGATGACCTGGTATTTCATCTCAAAGTGAGCTTCTTCAAAAAGGGGGAGACTCTTTCACCCAAAAGCATGGGAGCTATGTAATTCCCAGAGCTTGTCTGACCAGTCTTCCTTACCAGTTGAGGAAAAGCTTGGACAGGATTCCCTTTTAAAGCATGATCTCTGTGTATGTCCCCAAGCCCACGTGACTAGTAAGCTCTGCTGTGGACTTGTTTGCAGCCACTTGGATGGGAAAATGTGTAATGGGATCCTGCCTGAGCTTTAGCACCTTGTTGGGATGCTTCCCAAGCATTGTCAGGCGAGCTCTGGAATTTCCCAAGTTCTTGCTGTGAAGGAGTTTGGAGGCCTTCAGAGCCAGCATTTGATACGCTTCCTGCTTGTGTCAAGGAGTCAGGCAAGAGACATAGATGAAATTTCAAGTGGACTTGAATAAAAAACATATGAACTCTGCTGGATCAGACCAAAGACCTACCATCTAGCCCAGCATCCTGTTTTCCATAGTGGTTAACCAGATGCCTATGGGAAGCCCACAAGCAGGGCATGAGTGCAATAGTCCATTTAATGCTGGACGTTTATGCAGAAGTCCCCATGCTGCCTCCGATTCTGGAGGTTGTATATGGTTATCATGACTACTAATCATGATAGCTTTAACCTCCTTTTGTCCAATCCCCCTTTAAAGCTGCTCATTTTCCAAACAAAACTAAAAATGAGAGTATGCTCTCATGTACATTTTGCTGAGCTCTCTTGGCTATTTTAAATGCACCTATAACCCTAACCTATTTTAAATGAAACCAAGGTTAAACTTCTGCCAGTTGCGTAATATTGTTTTCTGCTTGGAACTGGGACAGGGGCCCTTTCTCAGAGCCACATTTCCCTGTGGGGGCAGCCTTGTGGGGCCTGCATGCCAGTGGTTGGTGGGACCCAAGGCCATAGTAGGTGGAGCAACGGATAAAACTCTCACCTTCTGTAGTGCAGTCTACATTGCAGCCGTGTGAAAGCCCCACTCCAGCTCTTCTATCCTTGATCCTACATTTAGGCAAGCAAGAAACATTATCAAAGTTCAAGGGCTCCTTTTTCGTAGTTTTTTGTGTTTTTTTACAGTCAAACTGTATAAATTTTATGAAATAAATTCCCACCAGACAAAACCACTCAAGGTAGCAGGCCAGTGGGGGCCTTGGCCTAAGGAAAGCTCTGAGGGCTAGAGAGGCTTAGAGGGAAACATTCAACCTATAGCTTGAAGGTTCTCTCTCCCTGGTTTAGGAAGACAAGCACAGTTCTGTTATTCTAATTCTTTATTTCTCCTTTTGTATTTTGGGCATTATGTGTGTGTTTAATTGCACGCTCAAATACATTCTGATCACGGCCTGGTCTCTTTGTGTCGAGGCTGCCATCCCATTCTGTATACATTAAAGCTTTATTAATGAAAAATGATGTATCTTTTAAATATTTTATGCAGCGTTTCTCCTCCAGAAAATCAGCATGGGTTTTCATCATCACTGTGGCATAATATGTATGGCTTCCTGAATCGCTTTGGTTCCACGGAGGTATCTATGGGTTCTGTTTTTTTAAGTATGCATCTTCAATGGAAGGGAGCACACAAAACTTTCCTCCTTTTTGGCTGATGATCTAATCTAATGGGTATACTGTGCAAAAAATGTATAGCTGCAGTACAGTACCAAATTCCACAATGCACTCACTCATTCTTAGAGCAGAAAAAGATGTTATCACTTTGGGACAGCTTCTCCCTACATCATTCTTGATCGTAGGAGATAGTAGTAAATCATTCAGTGAGAGCAAATGTATATTTCACAAGCAAGCACCCTAAGGGTGGGGATGGAGAGTCAGAAATGAGCGAACACATGAAGACTTCATAAAACTTAGGAGGAACATTTCCTACCTACATGGGCTTCATAATAATAAAATATTAATGCAGAGTACAAGAAAACAGGGGAAACATACACATTTGGTATTTGGTCATTTAAACTTGCCCATATTGTTTTGTTCATTGTGTTTATTATAAGGGTGTATTATCAGGACCTATTTGCATTCCATGATTTTATAATTTCACTTACGATTTGCACTTAGAAATGGGTTCTAGGTCCTCAAACACAACTTTGTTTGCCAGTTTAAATAAATCAGTTAATTGTGCAATACTGATAGATTGATGTGAAACCAATGTTTCTGCTTTGGAGCACAGTAACCACACAGACGGCTGCATTGCCTTTAACAGCTAATGTCACTTTGGCACAGCGAAGGGCGAAATGAAATATCTTATCAAAGGAAGAACAACAAAATAACCCCTTTTCAAGTTCTTGTGAGAGAAATGCTCATGTTGGTTGGATTTCCAACTTCTCTGGGAACTGGATAATTGGTTTCTGGCAATATGTAATGTGCACTGAACTGTGGATTCATTTAACTGTGTTTTGAATGTCTCCTTTGGCTCCTTTTCATACAGATTGCTTCATAGGATCAGTGCAGTAGAGGATCTTTTGATGCTTCCTCTTTCATCTGGTTGTGATTTCAAAATCGTTAGAATTTTAGACTGAGAATAGTCTTACTCAGATTCTCAGACTTCTTGAAACACAGGGAGTCTTTGCAGTGGTTGAAAGGCTATTGTGGTTAACAAAACTGTTTGAGTGGCCTGCCTTCTGTGCTAGTGCTAAACAGTAGTGCTAGCCACTTGAAGACATCCTAAAACAATACCATTGCTAAGTAGAGATCTGTTCAAAACCCATTTATGATGTCTGGGAGCATTTCTATCTGCAGAATGGTCATAAGCTGGAGAAATGTATGAAGGTGCTTGCTTACAAATGTTTTCAACCTGCAAGACCTTTCCCGCTCATTTATCTGGCAGGAATTGTAAAAGTCTGGGTGGAGGGATATCACTAATTTCAATTGAAGCATCAGATCTGTGGGCATATCTTTCTACGTACATGAAAATGCTGCTTCCATTGAAATTAACAGGGCAGCTCACAGGAGAAATACCTCTATCAGGAAAAACACAGATCTAGGATGTGATGACTGTATGATCGTATCTTTATTTCTTTGGTTCACAGTGGCATTTCCCCCCCATATCTATTTTTTTGTATAGCAGGCCAAGTTATCTCTTAGAAATACTGGCTGGGGCAAAACATCATTATATGTGATTTGCGCTCATGAAAGCTGGTCAATTCAAAACAGTGCTTGTTGAGTGAATAATGTTCAGAAAACTGATTACCCTGATTTTGATAATTTGCTCATTTGTTAGCGGTTTGTCAGTATTCACAATTTTTGTAGTCTAGTTTTTCCATATATCTTCTAGTCTCTTAAATTTCCTTTCCCTTTCTTTTCTCCTCCTTATGAAAGACATGTCTCTGTTTTTAGGAAGCCTGTAAGAAACCCTTTTTAATTCAATTGACACACAATTACTTAAAGTTGCTCAGTAGTCTCCAAATTTGTGGACGTATTATTTTAATCTAAACCAAGAGAACATTGCCAGTGGCAAACCTATTCACAGTGGAATTTGTTATGTGGCATTTATAATAAGCAAAATTGATGCCATTGCTTATATACATGGAAAACTGTAAATTATAATGTCTTGAAATGTTCTCAAGACATTTTCCTCAACACATTTCACTTGTCATAATATGCATTCCTTTTAGACAATACAGGAAGTGTGCAACTCCTGCCAACTCACTTTTGAAACACCTTGCGGGTCTTTGTGTGGGGTTTTTTAAGTGTGCTACTGTCACATCACTGCATTCAGTGTCCCCTTGCAAGCTGTAGACAATGACTTGAAGTAGGAGACAGGAAAGAGGTGCTAAACATGATATTGCATTGAAAGTCAACACAGCAATGTCCTGGTCCATTGGTAAAGAGAAAATATGTAATAACTTGGCCTTGGGGAAATTCACAACAGAACTGGCTTGAGGCTTTAACTTTTAGGCTAAGCCACATAACATACTGTCAGCCATGCTCTTGGTAGACTCCATCATTAAGACATGTATAGCGGCAGCAGTCTTTTTGTAAAAACAGGGCTGTGCATTTGTCACTCTAGAATTTCACATAGTGATAGTTAACATTTTTTTAATCAGTACCATCATGTTTGGAAATCGTTGACATTGAGAGGAGCCTTCTTACACTGGGTTTATGTGCTTCACAGCATGATCTGGTGCATGTTTACTCAGATGTAAGCCCCACTGTGTTCAGCTGGGTCTACTCCCAACTAAATATGCACAGCATTACAGCCTTAAAGTTTGTATATTTTGCACAATATGAAGTGCCCCGTCGATTCCTTGTACAAAGATGGGGAAAAAATCATTGTAAAATGCTTTTTGTTGTTGTTAAGTCACGGAAAAGTTACTAAAATTTAGTTTCAAAAACAGTTAAGTGTGTTGTGATGTAATCATAGAAATTGTAGATGTACCCTGATATTGTACAGAGGTACTTAGTGAATGTGTCATTCACGTAACTGTGGCATAAGCTTTTGTGTGTTATATCTGTTTTCGTCTATCTGTAAGCCATTGGCTGAGTTGCTGTGGTATGACAGATGCAAGAAACTGTCAACACAGTGTTGACAAGCAATGTTCTTCCTCAAAGAAAGAGATCAGTTTGGGAGAAAGCATACAGAGGCTAGGGACAGGAGCAAGTAGGGAGACTTTAGAACTGGAAAGTGTACAAACTACTTAAAACATAAGAATCAATTGGAATTTTTCTCCCTTCTACAATGGCTACATTGAACTCTCCTGCTGCCCCTGGTGGTGTGTAAAAGGTATAGCAGGTGGGGAAAATCATTACAGTGGTGCCTCGCAAGACGAAATTAATCCGTTCCGCGAGAGTCTTCGTCTAGCGGTTTTTTCGTCTTGCGAAGCAACCCTATTAGCGGCTTAACGGATTAGCGCTATTAGCGGTTTAGCGGCTATTAAAGGCTTAAAGGCTTAGCGGATTAGCTGCTAAAAGGCTATTAAAGGCTATTAAAGGCTTAGCAGATTAGATAAAGGGGGGGAAAGCGAAAAAAAAATCTCAAGACTTGCAAGACATTTTCGTCTTGCGAAGCAAGCCCATAGGGAAATTCGTCCTGCGAAGCAACTCAAAAACGGAAAACCCTTTCGTCTAGCGGGTTTTCCGTCTTGCGAGGCATTCGTCTTGCGGGGCACCACTGTATTAACAATTCAGTTGCCTTCACCCACATGGAGCACATGAAAATGAGCTTTCGTGTACTAAATGCTTTTACACTTTCCTTTATGCCCAAACATATGCTGCCAGCATGTAATAGCTCCCTTTTCTTCAAAATAAGTGGATAAAATTCATAACTGCAAGAGAGAGGGTTGTGTTGCTATGAAGTGTAAATAGAGATTCCTCTGAAGGCAGGCTGGTGACAGGTTAAGTCATTCTTTTCTATTTCAGTTAGGCTTCACCTTTGACAATGATCTATTGGTTCTGACAAGCTGCCATAAGATTACTCTTCCTCACTGCAGATCTTGGTGGGAGCAAGGTATGGGAGGAAATATGTATCCAGATGAGGCTCAAATGTGATCAGAAATATGAATGCTGCTTACAGTGGAGAGTACTGACCTTTCTCAGTTCTTACATACTGCAGAGCTGTCTTGAGTAACCCATGACGTGTTGTGCTACAGTTAGATTGAATGAAATGGAATGGCTAGATACTAAATTGAAAAATTAAATACTTGCAAGGCTCAACTGACAGCAATAAAAAACCAGGCCTTTAGCATCAGCAGCAGTCCTATGGAATGCTCTGCCAAGAGATTCAGCAGGTGCCTTCTATTTCAACTGTAAACACATGCTGAAAATTTCTATGTGCCAGGTGTATGCAGGCAATAGTTAATGGTCTCTAATTTTAATTTTTTACTTAAAAAATACTCAGAGACTATAAACTTTGATTTTTATGATATTTGTTGTTGTTGTTTAGTTGTTTAGTTGTGTCCGACTCTTTGTGACCCCATGGACCAGAGCACGCCAGGCACTCCTGTCTTCCACTTCCTCCCGCAGTTTGGTCAGACTCATGTTTGTAGCTTCGAGAACACTGTCTAACCATCTCGTCCTCTGTCATCCCCTTCTCCTTGTGCCCTCCATATAGCAACATATTAATATTTCTCTTAATGTAGAAATGTTGGGAACAGCAAAATGTATAGCATGTTACTGAACTTAATGGGACCTGGTGACAGCACTCACTTAAACCTTACAAATGAAACTCTGGTTCCCATTGTATTGAGATAATGAGAGCTGTAAGAATACTTGCATTCGGTACCCTTAGTAGGAATGATAAATTTCAGCTTTCATTTTAGAGGCCTCGGAGTGCATGGTGGAGAAGTGTAAGTCGTCCCCCCAAAATTGGATTAATATGTAGCTGAGAGAAAAAGTTTCTAAAAGATGGGGGGCATTACACTCTTTCACTGTGGCAGAGGTGAGTCTCAGGAGACTTTTTCTGACAGAGCTGTTAGACAGTGGAACGGACTCCCTCAGGAGGTGGAGAACTTAACTTATTAAAATAATAACCAGTTTTAAGTTGTTGTCTGGATCAAAAAAAGCAAGAGGGACTCAACTTTGGTTGATGAAATCTGAGCACTAGTGATGCGGAAAGAGCTGTTCTGGAAGAGCCGCCCCTCATATTTCCTCTGAATTATTTCCTGCTACCAGCTTGTCTTCCATTCAGACCTCTCATTATCTCGTTATAGTCAAATTAATTGCAATGGGTGTTCTTAAACGTTGTTGTTCCTACTTTGCAAAACCACAAGCATCCTTCTTAAGGAACAATCTAAGCCATTCATGACAACATCCAACAGGCATTTCATCAGCAGGGCTCATTTTATCCTTTGTTTTATTCTTTTCTTTTTTCTTTTTTCTTTTTTACAGAGCCTTCCAGACTCGGAGGAAGTAATTTGCCAGATCATTGTTCTTTTGCTCTTGTTTTCATGGCTATGCCCCCCGCCCACCTTTCCTCTCAGGCACTTCTTATCCCAAACAGGAGACACGGGCACTAAACAAACTTGCTCTTGTTTGACTCACTTAGACTGGGTTCCCTGACCTGGAACTTGGCCAAGGCAGACTACATAATGTAAAGATATGAACCCGCGAGGCATAAAACCCAGGAAGTGAGCTACAAAGGCTTCCAAAAATATGGTGGGTATACTTTACTAATTTGGCCTGCCTCCCATTCTTCTCTCACACATCTTATGCTGTACAGCAGTCAATGCCCAAAGCCCCAGGCCAATGTATGCTGCGATCCACACCCAGAGCTGCTGCTCAAGGCAAGAATGTGTAAACTAACAGAGCTGTGTCCCCATTCAAACAAATGGGAAAGCTTTTCTCATGAGATAGCTTAAGTATGTGCATCATCAGGGACCCTGTGCCCATCAGGAATCCTTTGACTATGTGATTTCTGGTTTAGAGCTATCCTTTTTATTTTCGTTCGTTTCCTTCTAAGACCAAGTTGAGCCCCACAAAATGCCCATTTTCAATTGCTTTTCTCCTGCACTTGGCAGAACCGTTCAAATGCACACCTCTCCTCCTCCTCTCCACCCTCAGTACGGCAGCAATTGAGATGCTGCCTTTTCCAGTTAAGGAATCAATCCATAAATTATTCCTGTGTCCAGATAGCTTGACACACGTGTCACTCACTTCACTGGAATGCATTGTTCTGAGGCTGGAATTGTACGCTTGGTATACTTGCTTCAGTTCCATAGAAGACTTTTGCTAAACAATAACTCTCCATGTGCAAGATTTAGAAATACCATGAAACCACATTTTTTCCTGCATAGCTAATAGTCTGAATTCTTATTTGTACATCACAGCCATGAAAGGGCTGCACAGATAGAAAGGGTGGTGACTTGTGCTGGCTTCCCCTTGTTTAGGGGTAACTTGGTCAGCACCAAGTATCCCCCAAGCTGTGTACCTGCTCCTTCAGAGGGAGTGTAAATCCCATGAAGAGCCGGCAACCTCCAATCCATCTGGTCTAGGGAACCACCCACTAACAATGCTTAAGTCTTATCTAGATTGAGCTTCATTATATTGAATGTCATCCAGTCCATTACTGAGGCAAAACAATGATCCAGCTCTTTCACTTCCTGGGATAGAAGTTAAAACTTTTCTCTCTAAATGGCCTTGGTCCAGTATACCTGAAGGAGCATCTCCACCCCCACCGTTCAGCCCGGACACTGAGGTCCAGCTCCGAGGATCTGCTGGCAGTTCCCTCACTGCAAGAAGTAAGGTAACAGGGAATCAGGCAGAGGGCCTTCTTGGTAGTGGCATCCCCCCCCCCCCCGGAACGCCCTCCCACCAGATGTCAAGGAAATAAACAACTATCTGACTTTTAGAAGATACCTGAAGGCAGCCCTGTTTAGGGAAGTTTATATTCTGTTGGGAGCTGCCCAGAGTGGCTGGGGAAACCCAGCCAGATGGGTGGGGTATAAATAATAAATTATTATTATTATATTATTCTATTACCTTTGATGATTGCTTCCCTATTCGGTTGTGCTTTTATTTTGCAGGTATGAATTGACCATTTTAAGACAAAAATGAAGAAAACAACGTAGCAATCTTGTCCCAATATTTTCTTACATTTGTGACCTGTCTTGTGCCCTACTTTGTAGCAGAAGGAATGTTATCCGTAAATGAAAGAAGTGTGTTACGTTATATTTTAGACTACATAATTATAGTATCATTAGGAAAGATGGTACTGTTCCGTTATCGTCTGACACCTAGCACAATGTAGTCTGATCTTTGACTGACTCTTCTTTGGAATAAATGTGCATATGATATTTACTGTTCAAAATAGTTGCTTTCAATGAAATGCACTAACCTGTAAATGATAACCATAGCTCCTTTAGTAAAGACAGTCACAGACATTCTTACATATTTAATCCAGCAGAGTGCAGCAGAGATCAGGGAATCATAATATGGAATACTTAATTATATCAGGGAATAGTGATTGTTGTGGGGAACAGAAACAAGCTCAGTAGTTATTTTCATCTAAAAGTGTGCTTAATGATATGGCAGCCCCAATATTACAATTTAGCAGAATAGCAGCAGTGTTGTGGCTTTTTGTGGAAAAATTACTATTTAAAATTAGAATAATATGCATAGGGCAATTTGCATTTGGAACAATTTAGTTTGCATCAGAAAAATTGCTGGTGCCCTAGAATAATTAATTAACTTGTTTGTTTTTCTTTGTATTTAGTAAACAAAGCTAAAATGTTTGAAACTGCCAATTTTGCCTAATATTGTGTTTGCAGTTGGAAACCATTCATTGATATTAAAGAACTTATGAAATCAGGAGGGAAATATTTTGAAAAATATAGCAGTAGAAAATGTTCTGCCCCCTATCACTTGATAAAATATTTTCTTGAAAATTCTGCTTTTGTGTTTAACTGTCTTGAAAGGTAAAAATCCTATTGCTCTGCCAAGAGAAACCGGAGACTACTTTTTCTTAAAACTGTGGAAATAATTCAGAATGAAATGATTAAAGTAGTTTAATGTGAACTGATGGATTATTGGAGAACATTTGGTTTTCCATGAGACCTCAGTAACATCCTGTCAAAATTCTGAGGACAGAGATGTTAAAAGCATAGATGATGAAGGCATTTGGCTCAAAAGTAGTGAACAAACAGTGGTTTCTTGATTCCAAATTGAAAAGCAAACTACTTAAAAAAAATCATCTGACCTAGGCTTGAAGAACCTATCTAGAACTTGAAATGTGTGTTACTTAGATCAGTTTACATATCTTACTGACAGAAGAAAGGAGGGCATGAAAAATTTATGACAGGAAAGACTTGGCGTGTCAGAGTTTTGAAAGACACAGATCAACAAACTTGCTCATACATGTTTGTGTGTTCTTTCCCCCTCTCAACTTCTGGTGAATTGTTGCTCCAGAGACTGATTTTACAGATTTAAACCTTTTCAATAAGCTATGACAAGGTAAGAGCCTAAGTGACCTCAGGTGAAAGAGACCGGTTACTGCTGGGAGATATATTTGTTCAATAAATCATCATTTCAACAGCCAGGTTGCTTTAACTTTGCCAGCCCTTACATCACCTGTTAAGAATGCTGCCTTGGCTGCGGAAATTCATTTTTAGGAGAAATTCAAAATGCTGGGGCTGTCCTTTTCTTCCTGTCCATTTCAGCATACAGTGTATTATTTAAGGCCTGGAGTAAGATTGTTCTGAAGCCATAACAGGATGCAGAGAAGCTCATTTAGGAGTGCTACTAGGCAGCAGCACCTTAAAGCATTCCACCGTAAAGTCATTAGAGGACCACATTTCTCTTACAGTTTGCATTATGCTTCTCTCTGTGTGTCATTTGAGCTCTCTGTGTTTCTCTTAAACGAGAACCAACTGGGAGAAAGCCACATCATTGGGATGAAGAAGAAGAAAAAATCTCCAATATTGCTTTGGAAATTTCACAATCAAAAGCACATTTTCGAAGCCCAGCCACTGACAGTGTGAACTAAAATAGGAAACATATGACATAGGGAACATGACAGCCGAAAAGAGAAAGTTGAACATTGTGACTATTTCATTATTTGTCTTCAGTCTAGAGCAGCCTCCTTCAATAGAAGGCCCTTCAGATGATGCGGATTACAAGTCCCACCAACCCCAGCCAGCATGGCCACGGACAACCTGAGTTCAAATCCTCACTCAGCCTGTGTAGTCAGCTGATGGGAACTAAAGTGCAAAACAGCTGAGAGCACCAGGTTGGGAAAGGCAGCTGCAGTCTCTCTCTCTCTCTCTCTCTCTCTCTCTCTCTCTCACTCACACACACACACACAAACTGTCCAAGCACTGCTAATAACTTTTTTAAAAAGATTATTTTGCCAATACATAAATCTAGTCACTAACTAAAGACTGTGCCACCAGCTTTTTGCCAATGCATGCTTGTACACGAGGAGCCACGTCTTGAGTGAGAGCTGAGCTAATGCATTCACTTTCTACTGCAGCAGTAGGAGGACTGGGAAATCTTCCTTCCAATGGTTGACATGTGTCCTCTTTTCCCAGGACGCATCCTCTTTTTCATGGGTAAGTAAAGTGAGAGTAGTCATAGCGATCCATAGTTAAAAGTAGAAGTCGGCAAACGTGTCCTCTTTTTTGCTCTTCAAAATACGGCGACCCTATTAGGTGAACAGAGCTGGCTTTAAACAGGGGAGATGAAAGCTCAGATCTGCACTCGCCTGATGTCAGCTACAGAGTACAGTGGTACCTCGGGTTAAGAACTTAATTCGTTCTCGAGGTCCGTTCTTAACCTGAAACTGTTCTTAACCTGAGGTACCATTTTAGGTAATGGGGCCTCCCACTGCTGCCGCACAATTTCTCTTCTCATCCTGAAGCAAAGTTCTTAACCTGAGGTACTATTTCTGGGTTAGCGGAGTCTGTAACCTGAAGCGTCTGTAACTCGAGGTACCACTGTACTGGCATTAACCAAACGATAGAGGCAGAATTAGGGGCATGTGACCAGTTCGATCACACTTGGTGCGGAGCCTCAGGGGTGCTGCAGAGGTCCACAATTATTATGTAGAATGGAGTACGAGAGGAGGGGGTGCCGATTTTTGACGTCACACGGGGTGCTGCTGAAATTTGAGACCCTAAGGTCTGGCACTGCAGACTAGATCAGGAATGGGAAACCTCAATCCCTTCATGCTTCTCTATGTGGTCCTTGGAGTCCTCCCCAGGCTATACCCCACACTGGTCCCGCTTTGCACCCTCATATTTTTGCCTGGCTGGAATCAGTCCTTTGAGTATAGACAGTAGACTACATTGGGTTTGATTGATAAATGGCTTGAGCTGTTATAAAACAGCTTCCTGGGTTCTTTATACTCTAAAGGCATCAGATTCATTTGCGTTTACACTCCATCAGAGTGTAGCTGTACAGAGCAACAAGATAAAAAGT